TTCAGCAGGGCATCATTTAATTTCCAATAGGCTCTAGAGGGGTGATGGCCATAGACAAGGGTGCATGTGTATATATATATATATATATATATATATATATATATATGAAACATGGGGGGGTGGTTGTACTCACCTGAACATGCTTAAATAGGGTGTTGCTGGGGGCCATATTATACAATAAACAATACACAAGATCCAGCGCAGGATCTTGTGCATTGTTTATTGAATAATATGGCCCCCAGCAGCACCCCATTTAAGCATATATATATATTTGGGAGTCTAGCCAACTCCTTGGTTGCACCCCTCCCTGTTACAGGTGCCTCATCTCAGGTCCCTATTTAGCCTTGTACTGCAGAGAGCCTCAGCTGGATTTCTTTCCCCAAGTAAGTGAGCTATTCACATAAGAGTAGACATTAGACTGTGAGAGTAGGACCTGCCAAAGATGGGGTACATTGACGTTGTGGCAGGCTTATGCAATGTATGATCATATAATGTAACTAAATCCCCATTATTTTTTGCCTAGATTAGGTTTTTTTTTTTTTTTTTTAAACCTTTAGAAAAAACTTTTAAAAAAATGAATAAAATCTGTCAACATTGAAGTTGCTGTTTACTAGATAGGAGAGTGCTATGGATCTTGTGTATTGTTTATTGTATAATATGGCCCCCAGCAGCACCCCATTTAAGCATGTTCAGTTGAGTGCAACCACCCCCTTATGTTTCATACATACCTACTCAAGTAGGCATCATCAAGGTGAAAGCTCACGTGAAGATCACAGATGAAATTACAAGAGGAAACCACAAAGCAGACGAAGCTGCCAAGCAAGCAGCAAGCCAACTTCATCCTTCTACAGGTAATACCTTCCTATAGGTTGTCTTTCCAGATAAGACTGTTGACTACAATATATTGTTTAACCTGCAGAAGAAAGCAAGCAAAGAAAAACAAGATCTCTGGAGGAAACAAGGTGCAGAACCTGAAGATGACAAGATGTGGAGAAAAGACAAAAGACTGTGTTTACCATGAGTAATGTAACCTATGATGGATCAAGTAGCCCATGGACCCACACATTTATCCAAGATGAACATGAACTGTATAGTGAATACCCATTGGGTGGCACCTGGGTTTACTGTTGTAGCAGGTAAGCATACCCGAGCTTGCATGATTTGTGCTAGGAATAACCCTTGACAGGCTGTCAAAACACCAGGTAAACATATCCCAAGGCCACTTTACCAGTTTCAGATAGTGCAAATAGACTATATTCAACTGCCTAAGGTAGGAGTGTATGAATATGTGTTGGTATGCATTGACCCCTTTTCAGGTTGGCCTGAGGCCTACCCCGTGTCGAAAGTCACAACAAAGGTCACAGCAAGTAAGCTTCTGAAGGAATTGGTATGTAGATACAGGGTACCTGAAGTGATTGAATGTGACAGAGGTAGCCATTTCACTGGAGAGATAATGCAAGAAATAATGAAGGCACTAGGGTTCAGTCAGGCCTTCCATACCCCTTACCACCACCCGGGGTAGTAGGAAAGTATAAAGGGCAAATGGCACCCTAAAGAATAAAATTGCAAAAGCCATGCAAGTGACAGAGAAGCTTTGGACTGAATGCCTTCACCTAGCACTTTTCTCTATGAGATTCACCGCCCGCCCTAGAAGTTGTTTGTCTCCCTTTGAAATTCTGTGTGGTTGTACCCCAAAGACAGGACTCTATTTCCCCCAGACACTTCAATTACAATATAGTAACATGATCTGCTATGTCCAGGCCCTCTATAAGAAGTTAGGGCAGCTGCATAAACAAGTGTTTGATTCTTTTCCAGATCCAGACTCCAGTTGTACCACTCATAAGCTACTACCTGGAGATTGAGTAGTGATAAAAAGACACGTTAGAAGAGGGCTTAAGCCAAGATTTGATGGTCACTTCCAAGTGTTGCTAACCACAGCCACCTCTGTGAAACTAGAAGGAAAAGCCACATGGATACATGTCACTGTAAACAAGTCACTTCAATTGATCCACCGACATGAAGCTGTTCATATCCTTTACCATTGTATGCTCTGTTCAGATATGCTACTCTGACTTGAGACCAAAAGATAACAATGCATGGCAGGGAAATATATGGCTTTTAATCTAACCTCCTTTTGCTTCAACCCTCTCCTCAGTACTGAAAATGCCATACAATCTTGTCTTATAGTTGTCCCTACACCCATCTCACTCTTGGAGAAGTACCTACATACCCATAGACTCCATAAAACTCTACAACTACATTATTATGCTTTCAACCCACTGGTAGGCAAACCCCCCTAGCCTTGAAAACAATTAATGTGACAGCCGCTGAACTATGTTGGTCTTTTTCATGTAATTGTTCAAGAGACCCTAATACTAAATCCCTGTTTTGCCCCACATGGTAGACAAATACCATGAATTGTAGAGCCCTGAGCTCCGCTATGAAATGTATCCAAACTCAACAAGTTATGAGTTACCATCACCATGTCTATCTCCCTAAAGGATGGACTTTCTCCTGTGGAAATGTTACTTATGCTTATGTCCCAGGTAACATTACAGGAGGTCCTTGTGCAATCTCACGCCTAACCATGCCCATGTTTTCCAAATCTGACCTGATCTCTGAAACCACTCAGCTACACAAACCTAAGAGAGACAGGAGAGATGTCAAAAACACCCTTACTTCAGATTGTAACTCTAAAATCACTCTCTTATCTAAATCCGAATTCTCTGCCCTTGCGTACTCTGGGGTAGGAGACCTAGGCTTAGCACTGTATAATACCCGAGTAATTAATGCCCTAGCCTGTTCCCTTGCCAAAGGTTTAAATGCAACATCCCAGGCCCTGGAGGAACTTCTAATGGATACCCAGGTTAGTAAGAAGGCGATCCTTGAAAATAGGGCAGCTATTGACTATTTGTTGATGAAACATGATTTAGGGTGTGAGGCAGTAAAGGGCATGTGTTGCTTTAATCTTTTAGATCATGGGACCATGATCCATGAGCATATACAGAATTGTTTCTAGTGAAGGAAATAAAACAAGATACAGTGTTCTTTGTGGATTGGGATTGGACCTTTGGTCTTGGTATATGGCTCAGTATGCTAATTAAGAAAATATTGTATTTCTTACTTATCGTAGTATTTGTCATAATGATGATTTTTTCTGACATTTAAGTTCTTCTCCTGTCTTCTCAGGTTTTTTATATATAACCATTGCAATATGCTTAGTTTTGTAAATTCCTTTTATGGTACAAAGTGCCTTTAAGCATCCTGTTTTTGTCGGGCAAGTATATAATATGAAAGCTCTCCCATTAAAGCAGACGTAATCTTTGATTCACGTATGCAAGTCTTATTTTATTTCTCCAAGCGCTTGAACTTACAATTTGGTTTCCCTTGAACATATCTCTTGGTAATTTTTATCCCTATCAAAGGTGATGACAGACAGTAAGGGGTCGACAATGGCTGGGTGACCGTGGCAAGGTATGTGTGACAGGTTGAGGTGGTGATTGTGACAGGATGAGTGTGACAGGGTGAGCATGGGGGTGACTATAACAAGATGACTGTGGCAGGGCAAGTGAGACAAGCTGAATTCAGAGTGACTGTGGCAGGGTAAGTGTAATAGGGTGTGAGTGGTTGAATGTGACAGAGTTAGGGAATGAATTTTGACAAGGTGACTATGACAGACTGGGAGGTGAGTGTGGCAGAATGATTTAGGGAATGGGTGTGCCATGGTGACAGTGATAGGGTGTGGGTGGGTTTAGCAGGATGTGGGAGAGTGATAATGGGTGACTGACAGGTTAAGAGAGGTGACTGAGATAGGGTGGGAGGCTGACTGTGGCAGGGTAAGTGTGACAGAGTGGTATGGGGTAACTGTGGATGGGTGATTTGGGGGATAAGTACTTGGTGACTATGAAAGAGTGAGGGAGGGCGTGACAGGATGGGGGTGAGTGTAATAATGCGTGACAGTGTGACCGATAGGTTGAGAGGGGTGACTGTGCCAGAGTGAGTGGTGATGGGTGAGTGGGAAGATAAGGTAACATGAGTTTGGGGGTGATTTACTGTGCATAGTAGGCTATGTTTTTGTATCAGGCCTCCCCACATCACTGCATGGGATTTTTATTTGTGCCCCCCTCGTGATTGATTTTTGATGACGTAGGGTAGAAATATTCATTTACCTGGTAGTCCAGTGGATTTCCTGGTGGTCCTGTCAGTCTGAGCATTGGTAGTGATCTGCACGAAGCTAATCCATAGAATCAATCAATCATCTTAGATTTACCTGTGGAGTCTTAATCAAAGAATAAGACTCTGCAGAAAAATCCTGGATGATCAATTAATCCATTTGTGGATTGAAAGAAATTTGCTTCAGACAAACCATTCAAAACTAAGTTTTGCACAAGTCTAAGAGTGATATCTCCATTACACAGGGAATCCAAGTTGTGGGAACATAACAGGTAGCAGATATAAGCATGCACATAGCAATAATGATAAATTTTTAAAAAAAATATCACTGCTTCTCTGAACAGGACTAGACTAGAATGGAGGTGCAGATTTACACTGACAGCAAACACAGAGCTGGGCAGGTTGATCTCCCCACCAGCCCGTGCAGCTGCTGGATATCCCAGCAGAGCCGTTGCTATAATTCTATCACTGGCTTTGCTGTCATGGACCACAAAAAGGTGACAAATTGCAAACAAAATCCGTGTACACAGCGTTAAATATTGTGTATACAAGATTCAGGGGTCTGGGTGCAAACTTGGGGATTGTGTATACATGAGTCCCATAGTGAGGATGTTTAACAAAGTTACAGCCATACTAAAAATGCTTTTATTTGTACTCCCAACGGTTTACAATTTTCATAAGAAAAGTGGCAATGACAGCTAATTGCTGCTGTTTAGTAACAATAAAAAAGTAAATAAAACACTAGGTGGATGAGACAATATTTCACCACATATATATATATCTTGTATAAACCCACACTGGTAGAAGCAGTTGGTGAAAGGTTTAGGATGGCTGTTTGTCATATGTTTGCTCTTGTTTTAACATTTCAAGGATTTTTAGCAAGTACAGGTTCTATGGTAAAACTAATTAATGGAGGCTACCAGAATGTTGTTATAGCAATTCACCCTCAAATCCCTGAGAATGATATAATTGTTGAAGAAATCAAGGTAAGCTAAATATTTGTAATTTTATGAAATATTAATATAAAGAAATAACTTTAATTGTAATTCATATATTTCTGATTTTCATCATACTGTTTTGAAAAATAAGCTTGTAAATTAACTACATTTAAAAAGAAATGGTGAAATTGGGTGAGCTTTAAAGGAATAAAAGTGGGTAATTTTATGTAATAAACCAGGTGAATCTTGGGCTAAAACAATCATACTCAAACATTTTTTAAATAAACTGCAATTTCTTTTTAAAATAACGTTGTTATTGACCTAGAATGCGCAATTTCATTCTCAAGGTTATTCACTAAAGTGTGAATTATTGGGATTTCAAAGTGAATTTCAAATTTTGGGCCAACATAATCAAACTGAAATTTTTTTCCAATTTAGCTATTGTGGCCTAAAAATCGGAATTCACTTTAAATGAATTACATATCACTGTAGGAATGAATAACACTGAATGTATTAGTGAATAACATTGATAGATTATGATGGTACACAAAATGTAGTCAACACAGGATTTTATTCAGTAGGGCAGTGCTATGCAACCCTCGGCACCCCGGATCATGTAGACTTCATCTCCCATAATGCTCTTACAGCCATAATGCTGGCAAAGCATCAGAGTTGTAGTCCACAACATGTGGAGTGGAGAACATTTCCTATTCCTGCACTAGGAAATTATAGTGCATTGAAAACTGAATTGTAATATATAGGCCAAAAGAGATGAGTTAGAAAATGTGGGTTAGCAGCATGAATATGTGACCAAATATATGGGATAACTGTGTCATGTGACAGGGCCAACATGACCCTAAGTCATTAATGAATGATCTACTTGTACAAAAATAAATTTTAGTCTGTTTCTTCGAATAAAATTTATTATAATCCATACTTGAATGAATCAATCATTTTTGATATTTAATGAATAATATTCCACAGGTAAATCCTACATGATAAATTAGTCCAGTTGTGGTTTGAAAAAAATTGGCTTTGGACAAACCGTCCAAAAATGTATTTGCACAAGTCAATGAATGATATCTCTATTACACAGGGAATCCAAGTTGTGGGAATATAAGAGGTTACAAACTGGTGCAAGATATACACATAGCAATAATGATAAAAAAAATGCTAAACATCACTGCTTCTCTGAACAGGGCTAGACAAAAATAAAAATAAATTCTGACAGTTGGGGACCTGCGAGTCCCAACTATGTTTTACCTAAGAGTTTAAATAAAAAAAAATATATATGAGAAAAGTAAATTAAGTCTATCTAGAGGCATTCTACTATTTACACTATAGTAGTAGCTATCAACCAAGTCCTTAAGGTACTGGGCATTCCTCAGTTCTATTCAGTAGGGATACTAACCAAACCTGGACTAATGATGTGCATTGAGGACTGCTTTGGAAACTACTGCACTTTCAGCAGCAAAATTAATATGTTAGCAGTGATAGAAATCAGCCCAGGTTTATGCATGGTTCAAAACTAATCTGTTTTTTTTAAATTTGTTTTCTTTTGGTTAAGCACTTAATGACGGAAGCCAGTGGTTACTTATTCAATGCCACAAATAAAAGGCTTTTCATGAAGAGTGTGAATATATTGATTCCCCGAACTTGGTCATCCAAAAGTACCTACTTGAAACGAAACAGAGAAACATATGACAAGGTAGGGTTTATAAATATTTCATAGTTGCATATAAAAGCTTCCGTCCCAACGTCTCCCACACTGCACTGGTGCCTGTATGGTTCAATAATTACATTGCTGTATCCTAAAAATATTAAAGGGACTCTCAAGTGCCAGGAAAACATATCTGTTTTCTTGGCACTGCAGGATCCTGCAGTTCCCCTCTCCCTCCCGCCCCCCATCCAATGTTGCTGAAGGGGTTAAAACCCCTTCAGTGACTTACCTGAATCCAGCGCCGATGACCCTCGGCGCTGAGTCAGGCTCTGCCTACGCTTCTCCCCCGCCAACGTCAGCCAGCGGGAGAGACCTAATGCGCATGCGCGGCAATGGCCGCGCGTACGCCTTAGACCTCTCCATAGGAAAGCATTACGGTGATGCTGGAGGTCCTCAAGCATAGTGTGAGGATGTCCAGCGTTGTTTAATACACGTTTCTTGTTCTTGTTCAAGTGGTTTTAGGGTGCCTGATTATTGTCCTCTAGTGGCTGTCTATTTTTATTTTATAGACAGCCACTAGAGGACTTAACCCTGCAAGGTAATTATTGCAGTTTATAGAAACTGCAATAATTACACTTGCAGGGTTAAGGGTGGTGGGACTTGGCACCCAGACCACTCCAATGGGCAGAAGTGGTCTGGGTGCCTGGACTTTTCCCTTTAATTTTCTGGGTACATTTCAAGGTAAGTATTCAGGCTGCAATAACAGACTGTAATCCCACCCTATAATGCATGGCTTTACGTAGGCAGCTGTACTTACTGTTTGTAGTTATCATTTTCATTATTAAGTAGTATTTAAAGCAATGATTGAAATATCTATGCACTATATAAATCACTAGATAGAACGATTGAAGGACAGGCAGAGAGTAGCTATAGTTTGCCATTACTTTATCGATCTTACCAATTAGGTTACCAATTAGAAAGTGTAAAAAAAAATCAAAAAAAGCACCCTATATGGAGAATATCCAAACGTGGGTGGTCAGTACGAGTGGTTACCATCCACTCTGGGCATGAGCCCTACTACTAATGTGTGAAACAAAAATTAGGGAAAATCTCTCTTCAGAAATCTCTCTTAGGTATAAAAGGATAGTTGGTTGAAAAATTAAACTTACAACATATAACCATAAACATCTATGGTTATATGTTGTAAGTTTAATTTTTCAACCATTTGTTTTACCAATTAGGAAGTCAAATGTAAAAGGCGCACATTCTAAGTTGACGCTATAAAAAACTGCTGTACAGGATAGAAAGTGCACAGTGTGCTCACATTGTATATGCCTGATTGGTCTAAGTGACACATGCATTTTTTAGCTCAAGTCTCAAGTCTAAATTACATTTACAAGATTTTTTTGTTTCTCTGGGATTTACAGGGAGTTTACAGTTGTTTAGCTGATTTTTTTTTTTCACTTCTATGTTTAATGTTTAAACCTTTCACCTTGAAAAATAACTCACTTATTGATATTTAAATAATATTACTTAATGTTTCAGTGATTATTCATTTTTAAAAAAAAATTGATTTAATTACAGATTTTCACTCACATTCAAGTTACTAATGAGAAAATTATAGTTCCCGTAGTGCAATTTTTCTTCTATTTGTTATTTTATTTTATTTATACTCACAGTTTCAGAATCATGAAATGCAGTTTTCTATGCATGAAGATTTAAATTAATTAAACTATCTTAAACTTTATGAATACATTGAAACAAAAAGCAAAATAACGCTTAGTTTATGTTCTCTGATGTTTTCTACCCATGCCATTTTTATTTAAAGGCATGTACTAAGTATCATAAAATACACAGCTTCTTGTATTTAGGTAAATATGTAAATGATATAAAATGTACCAACACATGAAGTTCCTACAGTTTTTGTTATATTGTTTTCAAGTGTTTTTTGAAAAGTGTTTTTTTTACCAAGTGGTTTTGAAAAAAACATTGGAGATTGTCTTATAGCCCTGCGACGGGACGGTATAATGATGTGTTTCACTTCCGCCTTACCTATACATATATTTTTATTCTAGAAGCAAGAATTAAAATCTTACTCCATGCAGTAATAGGCTGTGAGCACAAACATGTAGTAGAATTTCTTATTCAAGAGCTAAAAATAACTTTTGATCTTCACGTCAACTAAATATTTGTTTGACGAATGAAAAAGTCAACTACCTCATTATGACATCAAAAGCAAACAAGTGGTTTTAGGGTGCCTGATTATTGCTTATTTTTTGTCAAACATTTACAAAATCTATTACTAAAACTGGAGAAACATTACCTATTGAGTTCAAGCACTACAGTCACCATAGTTATAATAAAATATAAAGGGAAAAGAAAATGAATTCTAAAACCTAACAGGAGTAGGTATATAGTGGTAGATCCACTAAACAGTGGGTTGAATAAAATAGTTACTAAAAACTCAGCTACAAGAGTGGTAACTTAAAGTTCATATATATGTGTATCAATAAATGTCCAACTGGAAGCAACTGATGAAATATGATAGTCCAAAGAAAGTCCAAAGAAGTCCACAATGTATCAGCTCTGTGCTAAATTACAAGGACACTCCTGTTATGATGTAAAACAGGAGATTATATATATAAAATTATATATATAATATATTCTATATAATTATAATTATATTATATAATATATATAAGATTATATATATAATTGTAGTATTTGATTTTGCAGAGAAATACGCAGCATTGTTCTGGAGACAATGTATGTATCTTCCTTACATTTTCTGAAGCTCTGCAAAATCAGATACTACAATTATTGCCTCATTCACAATGTCCAGATTCATTTGACTTTAGATGTATCCTCCACATAGCCTGTATTTCTCTGATGATTATTCAAGAACTCATGCTTAATATGTTTATATACTAAATTATTTGTGGGAAATAGTTATATACTATAGTATATCAGTTTAACAAGTAATCTCCTGGCTTACATCATAGCAGGAGTGTCCTTGTAACTTATCCATTAAGAGTGGATTTTTTGTAGAAATGTTTTCAATTTTTCTAGGTCTGGATGTCCTTTTTTTGTGGTAGCTTAGCATCTTTTTACCAGCTATGTTGGAGTATAGCAATAATGTAGCTATACATATTTGGTCATTTTACTGATCATCAATAGTTAATTATTGAACTTTATTAATATCAATTTTTTTGGGTAGAGGTAAGAAAAGAAGGTTCTTGTACATGATATGAATTCAACTGTGTTATTTGATATGTATGATAGTTTGTTGTGCACTTTATCATATGTGATACCTGTTTTTGCTCTATTCTAATTGACAATGTATATAGATCTTTGCAAACATGTTTTTGCAATTTTTCTTTGCCATTTTTTGCAATTAATGAATTAAAATTTATTTTGATTGACATATAGAAAGTGTGTCAGAGTGCGATATTATCACAGTTATTTTTTGTATATGAGTTTGAGGTTCTTAAGGAGGATAACCTCAAATACCTGCACCACCTTGCAGCTCAGCATTTTTAGTATAAATAAGATAACACTCCAAGATCTTCTTACAAATAAAACTTAACTTTTATTGCTTAAATTGTAAAATATCTACATTTCAGTTTGATTCTCAAACATTCATCAAGATAAGCATTGCATATAAAAAACAATAATTTATACCATAAAATTACATAACCTCACCCCAAAAGAATGCAAGTTACTCAGAGGACGCTCAGCCCGGAAAGTATGCGGGATGCAGCCTCAACGTGTGTTGGTGCAATGACATCACTCTAGGACATTGCTATGGAGACACAAACAAACATTTTCTTAAAAAGAAACACTGAATGTTAAATAAATAAAAAAGCAGGTTTACCACTGTATATTGGTGAATTATAAATACCTAACTGCGGCATAACATGTAATAAAGGAAGCGGATCTAACAGAGCAGGCAGTCATTCTCTACACCTGACTAACCCATGTATATATGTAAGCCACGAGTTCTGTCTGATCGACATATTCATGCTTATACTTTAGGTGCATAATCTGGGCATATATATGAAATTTAACTGAGACTAGAGTAGTGCATCCATTAAAGCCGGCAGTCCATCCAATTTTGATTCCTTTATATTTATATCAATAAACTGTATCAGTAAGCCGTTTTGCCTACTTGGCAAATGTACGTAACAGCATTGGTAAAACGTATTACGGTAAAATTCTAATATAAGTATTTCAATGTTGTAACCCTCAATTTCTTCATTAAATTGTACCATGACAATGACATTATCAGTGAAAGTGCAGGATTTGTGGGGAAATGCAAAAAACAAATATGTATGCTAACTTTGGCCAGTGTTTGTGACTAAGTGGCAACTAAAAAATACTGTACATACCCCATTTTTAATACCTTTGGTTGTCTACTTTTGCAAATGGTATGCCTCAGATGTTGGTAACTTACATTCCTGGGCTGCCATATGGTCTCAAAGGAAAGAGAGGCCTGCAATCCAATCTGGTAAAAATGGGGAAACCATATATTGACCATGTTATTTTCCAAAAACCATAAAACCTCTACATGGGGGATACTGTTGTACTCGGAAGAAATCAGAGAACACAAATATGAGTGTTTCAAAAAAGTAAAACCTATCATGACGATGATATCACCAGTAAATATATACAGTTAATATATACAGCGGAATTAGTTGGTGCTATATAAATAACAATAATAATAATAATGATTTTTAAAGTGCAGCAACTTTGGCAAGCATTTGTGACTAAGTAAATACAAAGTCCTGCTGTGTGATCTAAAATCCACCAACACACTCTAACACCTGTGTGTTCACCTCTCTATACACACAAAATAAAGATTATACATACATACAAAAAAAGGTGGAGTGGAGTTGGTATTCACATATGGTATCAAAAGACAGAAAGACAAGGCCCAAGCCTAGTGCAATTCAGTAAAATATAATACAGTAAGCAGATGAGTAACTCTAGAATATGGTACTCACAAATATGGAGCCTACATGCAAGGCTCACCACAGGTGCAGGTGGGGAAGTTAGAAGGGACCCCACTCCCTTAATAATGCTGTAGAAGTTTTCTTCTTTACCCAATAAGTTCACTGACCGTGATTTCCAAAAAACAGAAAAAAATGTATTGGTACAAAAAATAAATTAAAAGCGAGTTAAAAAGTGGTATAGTAAATAAAGTCCACATAAAATAAACTTGCAAGATGTGTTTTGCCTATTGAAAAGGCTTCTTCAGTTGCTTCTTGTTCTTCCTTCTTGTCCGGTCGTTTATATATGCTCCTCCTCAATTACTGACTCCCATCACCTGTTTCCATCGGTTACTTCCGTCTCTCCTCAATGACGCGGTATCTCGTGTCGCTTCGTGATGATGTCATCACAATCGGTTTGTATTTGGAACGCATGCTCGCGTTCCAAATTTTCACTAAACTTTATTGTCCATAACGCATCCATTGCTATGCACTACATGTTCCATAGGCACATAGAAAAAAAGGAACATCGTTATGTATATTTTTTCGTTCACACATATCACAAGGTATCAAAAATGTGATATATATATATATATAGTGAACTATAATGCATTTCAATTTAAGAATAATATATAATAAGTGCTTGCAGAAAAAGATGATAATATTAAACATATGCTTAGAATTATAGTGTGACAAATGCTAGTAGTGTGTATATAAGACAAATATAAGAATTTTAAAAAGGGCCTTACTTTTTCAAATGGTGTGCCATGATGGGGTTCATTTTCACTTCTGGGTTGCCATACCATCTCAAAGGCAACATAGTCAATCTGACAAATTTCAATTTGCAAAAACAGATTTTGGTTGTCTATTTTTGCAAATGGTATGCCATGATTGGGATAATTCTCGTTCATGGGCTGCCATACGATCTCAAAGGCAACATAACCAATCTGGCAAATTTCAATGTGTAAAAACTGAAATAGGCAAGCCTTATATTTGATCCTGTAACTTTCCAAAACACCATAAAACCTGGACATGGGGTTATTGTTGTACTTGTAAAACATTGCTGAACACAAATGTGTGTGTTTTAGAACAGTAAAACATATAATGTTGATGATATCATTGGTGAAAGGGCAGTTTTATTGTGAAAAAATCCCCCAGAAATATATGAGAGTTAACTTTGGCCAGGGGTTGTGACTAAGTAGCTACTAAAAAAGACTGGGCATACCCCATTTTGAATACCCTGGATTGTCTATTTTGCAAATCGTGTGCCATGATGGGTTTAGTTTTCATTTCTGGGCTGTCATATTGTCTCAAAGGCAACATAGATAGTGATGTCCCGAACGGTTCGCCGAACGGTTCGCGAACGGTTCGCCACGAACGGTTCGCCACGGACTCATCATTGAGTAAACTTTGACCCTGTACCTCACAGTCAGCAGACAGATTCCAGCCAATCAGCAGCAGACCCTCCCTCCCAAACCCTCCCACCTCCTGGACAGCTCACTAAGAATGCAGCTTCACAATGAATGTAAAATGGATGCTGTCCAGGAGGTGGGAAGGTCTGGGAGGGAGGGTCTACTGCTGATTGGCTGGAATGTGTCTGCTGATTGTGAGGTACAGGGTCAAAGTTTACTCAATGATGAGTCTGCGGTGAACCGTTCGTGGCGAACCGTTCGCGAACCGTTCCGGACATCACTAAACATAGACCCTGCAAACCAATCTGGCAAACTGAAATGGGCAAGCCCTATATTGACACTGTAACTTTCCAAAACACAACAAAAACTGAACATGGGAGGTACTGTTGTACTTGTGAGATATTGCTGAACACAAATATGAGTATATAGAGCAGTAAAATGTATAATGTTAATGAAGTCATTTGTGAAAGAGCGGTTTCATTTTTGAAAAATGCAAAAAACAAATATGAACGATAAGGGATTGTGACTAAGTGGCTTCTAAAAAAGACTACACATACACCATTTTGAATACCTTGGGTTATCTACTTGTATAAATTGTATGCCATGATGGGGGTAATGTTCACTCCTGGGCTGCCATAAAGTCTCAAATGCAATACAATCAACTTGTCAAATGTGTAAAAGTAGAAAGAGAAAAGTCCTATAATTGAGCTTGTAAGTTTTCAAAACCCCATAACCCCATAACACCTGTACATGCATTTCTTACCTCCTATAACCAACAGGAGCCTCCTAAATGTATTTAAAGTTCAATTTACAGAGCAGCAGATAAAAACATTTAAAGTAAAATACATCTGATTTAAAATTAAACCATTTTTATGCAGGCCGTGTCAGTCACAGCCAGAAGAGGTGTGGCCAGGGCAGAAAAACAGAAACTAAAGTGATTTAACGCATAAATAGCAGATAATTGAGCAGTGATACTGCAGAGGCGTGATCTAACACCAATTGACTTAATTAAGCTGAAGTTTTTCTGATGACTATAGTGTCCTTTTAATTCAACATACAATCAATTTCACGCTAATACATATATTTTAGCCCACGCTAAAATATATATATTACTAATATATATATTTTTTATTAATGAAACAATTCCAATGATATTACATACAATGAATGCTTAATGGAGATTTGTTTGACTAGTTACAAATGATGATATTTTTTAAATGAGCTCTATTTGCCACCTCACAAAGTTGGGCTCTTTTGATTGCAAATTCTACTCTGAATTTTTGCCCAACCTGCTTCATATATACTTCATGAATAATAGAATGGGCAGTTAAGACTCTCCATCTGTCTCAATAGCTGAAAAAACTAAACCATCTTCCCAACAGTTAATCGGCATTATCTCCACATTATCTTAATTGGCATTATCTCCACAATGGTACATAAGGATTGGATTGGAAACAGAGCTGGCAGCTAGTGGCAGTTCTCATTCCATTTAGATATATGACAGAAACATTGAGCCACATTAAGCTAGTTTAGGCCAGGTTATCCCCTTGTTCTCCGACCTCTTAAAAAAAATGGATATTATTTATAACTGCTGTTGCTCCCTCTTTTTTTTAAAGGGACACTGTAGGCACTGTATCTGCTTCATCTCATTAAGCTGGTTATAGTGTATGGAGTCCCCTGGTGCCATCATTTCTTTCAGCATTAAACAGTTTTTAATGTTGTAATGTTTTTATGCTAAACAAGAGACCACGGCAGTTCATCCTTTCTGTGCTGCTTTGGCTAATAAGGAAGTATTACCCTGAGCAGCAATGAGCAGCTGTGATTGGCTGAGAGTGTCAGCTGACTGCTTTTAACCTGTCAGAGCTCCAACTGATGGTATGAATGGGTATGACAACAAGGAAGTGTGCAATCTCTGCCTTAGCTACACATACAGAAGGGGCCGGACTGTGGGTGACCAGGGACTCTTATTTTGTGTCATACTGCACAAACATGGTGAAACACTGAATGGAGGGACAGTGCCAGGGCACTCCAGGCACTATAACCAATTCAAAGAGACAAAGTGGTTATAGTGACTATAGTGACTATAGTGTCCCTTTAAATGCCTTTCATTGTACTGGTTTTACCCTGCCTAACTGAGTCTTGTGGTGCCTGCTAAACTAATAGTGTGTTGCACTGAAGCTACAAGCTAGATGTATGGGAAAGCTTTGTTCTTATCAGGGTGGGGGGAGGGGGGTGTCAGTGGATGGTCAATTGCCCACTGAAATGACTTTTGCTCAGATTTTTAGAAAGAAAAATTGATAGCAAAAGGAAAAATATAACAATCAATCATTATCTCACTTATTTTTATAATTTGGGAAATAAAAATCTAATTTTGGCAAGTGAGAATTGGCATTGCAAAAATGGCTGTTATTAACTAGTCATTAGGCCTGGAAATCCTGTAGTAATTTTAGCATGTCTGCAGAGCCATGGACATCATTTTTACTTCTGTTGTGGCTACCCTAATTCCATTCCCAATTTTTTTAACTACCGAATTTGACCAAGCCAAACTGCAGCATGTATGAAATTATGTCAACCCCCCCAAAAATTTTTTTAAAAATCTGCCGACGGGAGTCAGGAGAACAGGTAATTTCCCCTTGCACAAGTCTATATAATAGACACATTAAATAGTTTCAGTAATTGGTAAAAGGTGGAAACATCGTGGTAATGGATGACTCCTCTAAAAGAGATGATTTTGCTGAGATTAGTACCGTTTTTTCCCGAAAATAAGACCGGGTCTTATATTAATCTTTCCCCCTTAAAAACGCACTTACTTTCAGGGGATGTCTTATTTTTGGAAAAATGGTAGCAAGCATATGCTAGGAATAAAACAAACAAACAAAAAAAAAAAACACACTAAGTCATCAGTGAATACTATTCTACCAATCTACTTCCCTAATACTTCCCTTACTTTTTCCCCTAAAAAATGCACTAGGGCTTATTTTCAGTGGAAATCTTATTTCGGTAGAAAATGGTAGCAAGCATATGCTAGAAAACGAGTCTTCATTTGGGGGAATTCCCCAGGTCAGTAGGGCATGGAGTCCCGCAAATCTACATTTGAGGAAGCTTCTCTGAAACATAGATTAGCTCACTTGTGAATGGAATCCAGCGAATCTATATTCAGGGAAAATTCCACAAACATAGATTAACAAACTAGTTACTAGGGCTTATTTTTGGGGTAGGGCTTATTTTACGAGCATCCCCCCAAATGAGCTACGGCTCATTTTCGGAGGATGTCTTATTTTCGGGGAAACAGGGTATATGTCACGGCAGCTAGTGTGGTCCAACACGCAGAAACTATGTAAATATATACTTACAAAAGAAAAGAAAAATAAAAGGGCAGAGCGTAACCGGACCTTAGAATGGCTGGACTAATATGCTAGAGATAAAGAATGGTCAAATGGAAACCCGAGGTCAAGGAAGCCAGAAATACTCAAATACCGTTTACACAAGCCAAGTCAGGGGAACCAGAATTCGGAATAACCAGGGAAAAGCCAAGATCAGGATACCAGGAAATCAGTTTCACAAAGATAAAAGCACTCTCAGGGAACCAGGAACAGGAAACCACGACAGGGCAAGGAAGTAAAGTGAATTAGGGATTTAAATATCCCTCTCTGGTTTCTGATTGGTCAGAGGGTGACCTCTGACCCCAGAACATGCGCGTGCGTTGACGGCGGGACGTCACACGCACTTTTGTATTCATTAGAGGGGCGGAGCTTAAGATGGACGTGACCACATGGTCCACGCCATCTTTGATTTGGGCGCGATGCCCAGAGAAGACAGCGGAGCGGCTCCCGGCTCGCCGACAAGCAGGTAAGCTCGTGGTGTCGGCGAGACCGTGCCGGTCGGGTACAGCCGTGGCACCCTGCGGGTCGGGAGCCGCAACTGTAACCCCACTCGAAGACCACTTACTGGGAGGGAAGGAGCCGGATTATGAGGAAAGAGATTGTGAAATGACCGGACAAGACGGGGCACATGAACCTGGTCAGCAGGAACCCAACAACGTTCCTCTGGACCCTATCCTTTTCAGTCAACAAGATAAGACAAAATAACCCTGGAGATTTTGGAGTCTAAAACAGAATGAACCTCGTACTCCTCCTGGTCACCCACTACCAAAGGCGGAGGAGGAGCCGAAACTCTAGTGTATTGATTGCAAGTAAGAGGCTTAAGCAATGATACATGAAATGAATTGGCGATTCTCATGTGGACAGGGAGTGCCAAGGAATAAGTCACAGGGTTGATACGGCGGAGGATCCAAAAAGGACCGATGTACCGAGGGGCAAATTTCATGGAAAGAACTTTAAGTTTGATATGACGTGTGGACAGCTACACCTTGTCACCTGGTTGGTAAACAGGATTGGCACCCCGTCTCTTGTCAGCTTGGATTTTAGCACGTTTTGATGCCTTTTGTAATGCTGTTTGAACGGAATTCCAAGTGTCATGAATATAATGTAAACGAGCGTTCAAGGCAGAAATATCTGTGTCTGAAAATTCCGAAGGGAAAACAGTGGGATGATTTACATAAAATGGACTATGATTAGAGGATTCATGAGTCGCATTATTCCTGGCAAACTCAGCCATGGGTAAGAGTTCATACCAGTTAGACTGATTGGCATTGATAAAACAACGTAAAGATTCCAAGGACTGTTTGGGCCTCTCTGCAGCGCCATTAGTCTGAGGGTGATAAGCGGAGGAAAACGAAAGTTCTATACACAATTGTTTACAAAAGGCACGCCCGAACCTAGAAATAAATTGGGTACTTCTGTCAGAAACAATGTTTTTAGGCACCCCATGTAAACAAAATATCTCTTTTAAAAATATTTGTACAAGATCATGAGCAGATGGCAATTTTTTAAGAGATACAAAATGTGCCATTTTTGAGAATCTATCTATGATCATAAGGATTGTGTTAAACCCGTTTGAACTGGGCAGATCCACCATGAAATCCATGGCTGAATGGGTCCATGGAGCAGTAGGTATAGGTAATGGTTGTAACAAGCCAGGAGGTGGTTTGTGAGAGGATTTAGAAACTGCACATATTTGACATGCCCCTACATAATCCTTGATATCATTCCTAAGTGTAGGCCACCAGAACCTCCTGGAGATAGCAGAGAGAGTTTTATGGACTCCCTGATGACTTGCTGTCAGATTATCATGGAATAAACCAAGTACCTTTTTTCTTAATAGTGGTGAAACGTACAGTTTATCCGGAGGCCTCTCCACTAGTGCCTGAGTTTGATCTGTGATTATAGCACAGAAGAGTGGAGAAGACACTTCAGAAACAGTAGTAGCAATAAGGCATTCTGGAGGTATGATACCTCTTGGGGGATACCTCTTGTTCAGGAATCTCATCTGTCTCAAACTGTCTAGTGTTCTTGGTCCCGGGCCTATAGGTAATTACAAAGTTAAATCGGGAGAGGAACAATGTTCATCTAGCCTGATGAGAGGACAATCTCTTAGCGTCCCCAATATAAGCCAAATTCTTGTGATCGGTAAAAATCAGAAGTGGCTCTTTGGAACCTTCTAAGAGATGTCTCCATTCTTTAAAGGCAAGTATTATGGCCAATAATTCCGTATTCCCAATGTGATAATTTTTCTCTGCAGGTGTTAGTTTTCGAGAGAAAAACCCACAGGGATGTAAAGGCGTATCAGGACTTTCTCTTTGAGGCAGATTGGCTCCTGACACATTTATTCTAGAAGTAGATGCGTCAGAAACAGGAGTAGCCTGTTTCTGACGCATCTACTTCTAGAATAAATGGTTTGGTTGGATCGGGATGTGTCAGGACAGGTGCTGTGGCAAATAAAGATTTTAATTGTTCATATGCCTCCTTTGCTTCCTTGGGCCATGAACTGCAATCTGCTCCTTTTTTGGTTAGATTGGTAATAGGGGAGATTACAGAGGAAAAACCTTTAATGAACTTGCTGTAATAATTCGCAAAACCTATAAAGCGTTGTGTAGCTGTTTTTTAACAGGGTTTTTAGTACTATTCTCACATGTTCGTGATGTGTCTCTAGGTCTGGGGAATAGATGAGAATGTTGTCCAGGTACACTAAAACGAACATGTGGAGGTACTCCCTAAGGACATCATTAATGAAATCCTGAAATACCGCTGGAGCATTGCATAGTCCAAACGGCATAACTAGATATTCGTAGTGTCCCATTCTTGTATTAAACGCGGTCTTCCACTCATGCCTTTCCTTAATTCTGACTAGGTTGTAAACACTTCTGAGGTCGAGCTTAGTGAAGACTTGGGCTCCTTTCAACCTGTCGAATAATTCAGAAATAAGGGGAATGGGATAGGCGTTTTTTATTGTTATCCTATTCAAAATTGACCGCTGCCCCAGAGTCAATCATAGCCTCACACTGTACAGCGGTTTTCTTACAAGATAAAGTAACTCTTATAAGGAAATGGTTCTTAGTCAATTTAGGGGACATATAAAATCACACCTAAGGTCGGTCCCCGAACGTGCCTTAGGTGCGCAAGTTTTCCGGCCGAACCGGACATGAAAATGTTTGATGTCCTCTTTTGCCACAATATAAACATAACCCCTCATTGCGTCTCTATAGTCTCTCTGCCTCAGTGAGTTTGGTAATGCCCAGTTGCATGGGTTCTGGTTCTGGAGGTGGGGCATGGTTAATTACCACTGGGTTAGAGAAACGAGGGGCTATGGATAAGGTAGAACGTCTAGTACGTTTGTTTTTCTCTTTTTCTCTGAGCCTGTTGTCAATATCTATCATGTAGGCAATAAAGTCATAAAGGTTAACCGGAAGATCTCTGGCTGCGGTCTCATCTTGTATATTCTCTGCTAGGCCTTAGGAGAAGGCAGCCACTAGACCGCTATTGGTCCAGTCAACCTCAGACGCCAAAGTTCTAAACTCAATGGCGTAGTCAGCTACAGAGCGATTGCCTTGTTTTATTCTCATTAGGGCTCTGGCAGCGTTCTTTTCTCTCCCTTTTGGCTCAAAAGTAGCTTTAAATGCTGTTAGAAATACGTTGTAATCACGGGCTACTGGTTTCCCACTCTCCTATAAGGGATTAGCCCAGGTTAAAGCCTCACCCGTTAATTGGTTCATTAGATAGCCAATCTTCGATTAATCTGTATGGAATGAACCAGAGGCAGCTTCGAAGTGGTATTCAATTTGGTTTAAAAAAACTCTAAATTCTTTAGAATCACCCCCAAAATGAGGGGGAGGTGAAAGGGTCATGGACGGTGGTTTGTGTGCCACCGATGTTACCACAGTTGGTGGAGTCACAGGTGGTACAGGAGGTGCCTCCAGATAAGCAGTTCTCTGGAGCAAGGTCTGGAATGCTTTGGCAAACTGATCTAACCTGTGGTCCATATCCTCCACCCTATTCTCACAGGCAATCATATGTTTACATAAGTCCGCAGGATCAATGGCTCTGTCGTAATGTCACGGCAGCTAGTGTGGTCCAACACGCAGAAACTATGTAAATATATACATACAAATGAAAAGGAAAATAAAAGGACAGAGCGTAAACCGGACCTTAGATTGGCCGGACTAATACGCTAGCGATAGAGAATGGTCAAAGGGAAAGACGAGGTCAAGGAAGCCAGAAATACTCAAATACCATTTACACAAGCCAAGTCAGAAGAACCAGAATTCGGAATAAACAGGGAAAAGCCAAGATCAGGATACCAGGAAATCAGTTTCAAGATAAACGCACTCTCGGGAACCAGGAACAGGAAACCACGACAGGGCAAGGAAGTAAAGTGAATTAGGGATTTAAATATCCCTCTCTGGCTTCTGATTGGTCAGAGGGTGACCATGACGTCACGCGCACGTTTGTATTCATTAGAGGGGCGGAGCTTAAGATGGATGCAACCACGTGGTCCGCGTCATCTTTGATTTGGGCGTGATGCCCAGATAAGACAGCGGAGCGGCTCTCGGCTCGCCGACAAGCAGGTAAGTTCGTGGTGTTGGCGAGACCATGCCGGTCGGGTACGGCCGCGGCACCCGGCGGGTCGGGAGCCGCAACAGTATATATATTTAGACCAACACCTTACTCATTCTTCAAAGCTGTTTTCACAGGTGTTAGAAGAGATTAAATCATCTTACTAAAAGGTGGAAAAACCTGGAGTGGCAATTTCTAATATGAATTATCCTATTGACAAAAGTGGCTTGTGGGTCCAAAATTAGAAATACCACACATGAGTTACATCTTGTTTGTTTTAGTAAAATATTAACAATATAAAAGTGGAAATTCCCAATAATACCCACAGTAAGAGAGGCCTTTCTAGAATTGGAGGAGATATGATTTTGAAAGTAAGTAGAACCTTTGATGTGAGGTATCATGAATATGTTTGGTATGTGATCTTGCAGGATTTGAAGGAAAATAGACTACAAATAGATTCCCCTGAGACATAGCACTTGCTCTTGCTATATAAATAATAAAATAATAAATAATAATAATTCTAAACAAATGTTATAAATATACAATGGCAAGGAAAGCACTTCTATTACACACCTTCCCTCATTTCTTTAAACTTAGAAGAGTTTGCCATCAAACAAAACAGCAATAAATAAAATGACCTAAAGGTTAGTTATCATTTTTGATCTGATGAAAGATCAAAAATAAAGACTAACCTTTAGGTCATTTTATTTATTGTGGTTTGTTTGATGACAAACTCTTCTAAATTAACAGAAAGGAGGGAAGGTGTGTAATAGAAATGCTTTCTTTACACTTGTATATTTATAGCATTTGTTTAGAATTGTTATTATTTATTATGTTATTATTTATATAGCACCAGCAAGTTCCGCTGCGCTGTACAATGGGTGGACTAATAGACACGTAATTGCAATCAGACAAGTTGGACGCACAAGAACAGAGGGGTTGAGGGCCCTGCTCAATGAACTTACATGCCAGAGAGAGTGGGGTCTAGTGACACAAAGGGTGAGAGTAGGGGTATCAAAATAAATTGCTAGAAAAGTATTCACTGAGGGCTTAGTAGATTATTTTTGACAGTTGCAGGAGAGGAGTTGGGTTTTGGGTGTGAAAATCTGCTAACAGTTTAATTGATACAATTTTCTGAAATAGTGTGTTTTCAATGATTTTTTGAAGGAATGGAGACTGGATGAAAGTCTAACAGAGAAGGAAAGGGAGTTCCACAAAATAGGTACAACCCTGGAGTAGTCTTGAAGACGAGCATCAGAGGTGGGAGTACGGACAGAGGATAGACATAGGTTTTTGGCAGAGCACAGGAGCCTTGACGGTCATACTTGTGCTTGTGTATTAGGGAGGTTAGAGCAGCATTATATAGATACTTGTAAACAAGCACCAGAATCTTAAATTTAGCCCTATATCTTACTGGAAGCCATTGTAGGGACTGACAGAGAAGTGAGGCGTGGGAGGTGCGGGAGGACAGGAAGATGAGCCTCACTGCCGGATTTATATTAGATTGCAACGGTGCAAGCTGGGAACATGTAAGACCACTGAGAAGGGGATTGCAGCAGTCAAGGCAAGAGAAAACAATGTCATGGACCAGCATTTTAGCCGCCTCTGGCGTTAAAAAGGGGAGGATGCGCACTATGTTTTTTGAGATGGAAGTGGCAGGATTTGGCGATCGACTGGACATGAAGGGTGAAGGAGAAGTCAGAGTCAAAGAGAACACCTAAGCAGTGAATCTGTGAAGTAGAGGTGATGGTAGTGCCATTGATTTAGAGACAGACAGACACAGGAGTAGCAATACTTGAGGGAGGAAAGATCAGAAGTTCGGTTTTGGACAGGTTGAGTAAGGAAGTGGGCATCCATCCAGTTGGAAATCGCAGAGAGGCAGTCAGAGACATGTGTCAAGATGGGCGGAGAGAGATCAAGAGAGGATAAGTAGATTTGCGTGTCATCTGCATATAAATGATAGTTGAAGCCACAGGAGTTAATGAGTTTACCAAGGCAGTATAATAGAGAACAGTTGGGGACCAAGGACAGAACCTTGGGAAATGCCAAGAGAGGGGCGTTGGGGAAAAGAGGATGAGCCAGAGAAGTAAATACACTGAAAGAGCGCTAAGAGGTAGGAGGAGCACCAGGGGAGAGCAGTATCCCATAGACCTAGATTACGGAGAAGAAGCTGTTGATGATCAACAGTTTCAAAGGCAGCAGAAAATTAAATCATTGGACACTTTGGTTACATCCGTTTTGACAGAGTGACGAGCATGGAATCCAGACTGAAGTGGGTCAAGGAAAGAGTTAGATTCGAGGAAGTCTGTCAATCTTGCATATACAATTCTCTCAAAGATCTTAGAGGCAAATAGCAGTAGCGAGATAGTGTGGTAGTTGGATGAGGAGTTAGGGCCAAGGTTGTTTTTTTTTCAGAAACGGGGTTACAGTTGCATGTTTGAAGCCTGAAGGAAATGTGCCAGAGGAGAGGGAGAGATTGAATTTTTTAGTGAGATGGAGAGCAAGAGAAGGAGACAGAGTGTGGATGAGATATGAGGGAATAGGATCGAGGGAACAGGTGGTGGGGTGGGAGGACCGGAACACAGCAGAAACCTCTTCCGCTGTGGTGGGTGCAAAGAGCATAGAATAGCAGAGGGAGTGGGGTTGGGGGAAATATTGGTGGGAGAGGGTGAGAGATTAGAGATCTCTTCCCTGATTGTAGAAATCTTCTTAGTGAAGTGAGTTGCAAAATTTGTGGTGGACAAGGTTGTAGGAGGAGGGGGAGCAACAGGTAAAAGAAGAGCATTAAAAATGTGAAAAAGGCATGTGGTCAAGGCAGTCAGTAAGGGTTTTCGTTGAGATTGGCGAGTTGACGATGTTGAAATTTGGGTACGCAGTATGTCGATGTCAAAGGTCAGACAAAGGAAATGGAACATTGGAGAGATTAAAGGTGGTATTGGTGAAGAGGAGATCAAGAGTGTTTCCTGCTGTATGATTTGATGAAATAGACCACTGTGTGAGGCCAAAGGAGGGGTTACAGAGAGCAGACAGGAGGCATCAGTGCAGTTAAGGTTGTTGATTGGGATGTTAAAGTCCCCAAGTATAAGGGAAAGAGTTATTAGGAGAGAAAGTGGGTAGCCATGAAGAAAAGTGTTTGATGAATAGTGTAGGATAACCGGGGGCGGCGATAAATGATGGCAGTTCTTAAGAAGTGGGCTTAAATAAGCGGACAGTGTGAACTTCAAAGGAAGTGAATGATAGGGCAGGGAGGAAAGGTTTAAAGGTACATTGAGGGGACAGGAGGATACCTACACTGCCTCCTCTACAGTTTAGTCTGGGAGTGTGGAAGAATTGTAGTCCACTGAAACATAAAGAAGCAGAAGTAGTAGTATCAGACGGGGGGACAGCCAGGTCGCAGTGAGTGCTAGTAGCGTGAGTGAATTAGAGATTTAAAGAAAAATTTAAAAAAACTTAGTAAGATCTAAAGTGAACTACAGAAAAATACAGCAAAATAAAAAATCAGAGAATGGGTCACTTTCAAAATTAGGAGGGGGACCTAAATAGTATTTTGGATTGGAAGATTAATAAATGTAAAACCATTTATAAAGTGCCAACAGATTCTGTAGCGTTTTACAATATTTACATTATAAGAAATCCCTATTTTATTCTTGTAAAAGGAATAATATTGCATGTCTGCATGCCAAGAGGTCATCTAGACCTGACTGGAATATGGTAGGTTAATAAAGGTGGAAGCTGACTGTATAGAGTCAACATGAGAACACTCTTTAGGAGTGAATATTTGCAAGGGTCTTTAAACTCATTGTCAGAATTATAATCTAATTAGCATAAAAGTAATAATAATCTTGATTCATTTTAATGCTTTAATTTTCAAATTTCTGTTTGTTCTAAATTTTAGAAAATATCAAATCAGACAAATTGAATTTCATCGAAAAATGCTGTTCATGTTCAACATTTGAATGGTGGTGGTTACAAAGTTACAAAGTACCAATTTATGGATTTATCTGCTAAGCTGCTGAAAGATCAAAATTAAGAAAAGCCCTTCTCAGAATTTAGCTTTTTCAGCTACTTAGTAGATAGTTCCATAATTTCCTATCGTAACATGGGATTGCATCAAGTAAGGGTACATAATACGGGGGTTATTTGCTAAACAACTGAAAGAGCAAAATTCATAAAAGGGTCTTTCTTAACTTTGCTATTTCAGTTGTTTAGTATGTAACTTCCTAATTTGCTATCCTTATCAAAACAAATGGATCCAAACTTATTTGTTTTGATTTGTTAAGGATCTATTATGTTTATTTTTTTGTCTATTCAAAAATGTGGACACTTCTGAATTACTGAATTTGTCTGGATTTGTTCAAAATGTAATTCAGAAGCAAACTAATTGTACATGTGTATTATGTTTCAATGCAGTTGGTGAAGTAATTCCTCCAAATTCTTACTTGTGCTCTACCTTTCCAATTTTGCGTTCAACAGGCTGATGTTATTATTGCAAAGCCTTTGCCAAAATTTGGAGATGATCCCTATACTTTACAGTACAGAGGCTGTGGACAACAAGGAGAATATATTCACTTAACACCAAACTTCTTGCTGGAGGACAAACTGGTTTCCATTTATGGACCTCGTGGTAAAGACAAATCTTTTCATTTTCATTTTGATTGTACTTCCTCATTCCAATTGAATTTACAAAATGATTCATCTGAAATTATTAGCACAAAGGTTCTTGATGCTCTAAAATTATTAGGGTACTTCAGGCAACCACACAATTTAAAGACAACACTTAATCTTAATGTATCTTAATTTAGAAGTTTAGGTGTAAGTCTGGCAAATTTAAAAATGTCTGCTTCTGAGAAATAGTAGTATTTGTTTTTGTAAGATAACATTCCTCTAGTGACTGCCCAGGTGACAGCCACCAGAGATATTTCTTTCTAAATCAGCTATACCTACAGTTTGGCTATTTTAGTCTTATTTTTGCAATCCAGTCTTCAGTTTAACACCACAGATTTTCTTTTTCCAATTGATGCCATTTTACATTAATTGTCCAAACACTACTAGAATCACATTGATTCCAGACAATTATTCTGTGTGTGCATTATGTCTCAAGTGTGCCCAAATTCACTAAATCTCTCTTTAAAAAAAAGAAGAGAAACCAGGAATTGACTGGGAGACAGTAGGGTAAATATACATTAAAGTCCCTCTAATTATGTATCTACTAAAAAGCACATGTAACAGTTTAGGTATATGCTTTTCAGGGGATACTTTATAGCTCACAAGTTTTTAACTTAGAGTAAATAAATACCCTCACGCTTACCTACCTTTATATCTGGTTTATATCAGGTGACCAATTTGAGGATCTCTGGCTCCCTTTCATTAACTTATATGTAACATAATTTCTGTCTAGTGAAATTTAACACAAATCGATCTAATGGATTTTAATGGGAGACCTTCAACCTCTTTGGTTTATAAAGCATGAGACTAAAGTAAAATTATATTTTTGCCCCTAATATTTCTTAACCACTACACCCTATCTTAGAAAGTTTTTCAGTTTAAAAACTTTACTACAATTTTGTAAAAACCCATGCTATTAGATATTAGAAAATAACAGCTCTAGAGTGTAAGCTTATTTGAGGAGGGTCCTCATCAACCTATTGCTCATGTAACATTATGTAAATGTCTAATTTATTGTTAAATGTCCCCCTTTTAAGATATAATAAAGAACTGCAGAATAGGTTAGCCTTATATAAAGGACAACAATAATAATAATAATAATAATAATAATAATAATAATTACATCAAGTTTTTTATGTATTTTGTAAATATTAAGCAAAACATTATGCAAGCTGCTTTCCAGATCATCTATTTTGTTCTGGGTTATTCACTAAAATGAGATTGCAAAGTGAATTCACACGGAATTTCAAATTTAAGGTCAAAATAGGTGAACTGGAAATATTTTCTAAGTCATACGTGCTTTTATTTCAGCTATTTTGGCCTTAAATTTGAAAATCACTCTGAATTTATTTTGAATTCTAACTTTAGTAAATAACCCTATATGACTCTAAATCATTTCATGCTTTGTTTTTTATCAAGTAAAATATTCTTTATATGTGGACATCAATCTATACTAGTGTTCTACATAGATACATAGTTATTCACTACGGTAGGAAGTGAATTTCAAATTTAGGATGAAATACTCAAATGACAAAAATTGTCCATGTCCTTTCTGATTTCAGTTTGGCTATTTTGGCCTTAAATTTTATTTATTTTGAAATCATTTTGAATTTACAAGCACTTGTCATTTTAGTGAATAACTTTGATATTTGTAAAGATCATGCATTATTTTAGAGATGGATTTATAGAAAGCTGGCAATAAGTGCACAATTATTACCTTCTTATTTTGTTTACCATTATACGTGAGCTTCATTGAGAGGAATAGACAATATTACTCAATATGACACCCAATATGTATGATTCACTGGTAATTTTTTATTTCTTTAAAATAGGGAAAGTAATTATCCATGAATGGGCCCACCTTCGTTGGGGAGTCTTTGATGAGTACAATATTGATATCCCTTACTATATTTCTAGAGAGCTTAAAGTGGAAGCAACAAGGTAATTATATTGATTATAGCCCGTACTTATTCAGTTGCCTTACAACAATGAATATGAATTGTATTATATTATAAAAGAATATCTCAAATATCAGCCATTTCTAGCACAGCACTCTAGTGTGGTCCATGACCACAAACCCAGAATATAGAGGTATGTTTGAACGGGGATACATTCAGGATAAGGGAGACATCTGGAGGCATGGGAATACAGTGTGTAGCTGTGTGTAAATGTGTATGGGTATGGGTGTATGTATATCTGTGGATGTATATGGGATTGTGTAGTTGTGTGTGTATCGGTGTATAAATGTATTAGAGTGTATAGCTCTGTGTGTATCGGAGTGTTTAGTTTTATGTGCATATGCATATGCATGTGCGTGGCCAGAGGTCTCCAGGTATGTTTAACTTTGAGAACCCCTGTCAGAAAGGCATATTTGCCTAACTATTTTAATGTTATTTAAATACAGTTAAAATGTTTAATGGCTCTGGTGTATGGCCGAAATGACATTTTGGTGTAAGTTATCACTTGTGCGTTTACAATAGCATATGTTGATGGGACAGACAGAAAAATATGTGTTTATACCAGGAAGCCATGGCAAACTCCAGACATTTGAACATGCCAGTAGTTGTCTATAATGCAACTGTTTAGTTCCCTTCACATCTGACATACATATTGTATTAGAGAAGTTTTGACCTTAGTTAGCTTTATCCTAAAGTAAAAATAGATTTTAAAGAAGCAATAATAGTTTAATTTGGTACAATCTTACTGCAATAAATGATTAATTCCATGTTAACCACTTTTGAGTTTTTCCATTTTCTACATTTAAAAACACAGCTTTTACACCTCACAGTCATAGAAAGAGGACGAGAAACAAAAACAATGATGAAACAAATATCAAGGCAAAATCTATTCTGACGCAAAGTGCTAAATAAGGTCCAGTCACCATGCAAACCAACTGAATGTATTTGTATGTTAGCACTTTGCACCTAAAATAGCATCTGCTTTGTCTTGATCACTTTTAATATTCCCTGTTTAACTATCGCTGCAAAGTTAGCTCTAAAACATTTCACTACCAAAATTGTGTATAAATGTTTTTATTTTCATATATTTTGCAGTATAACATCTAGTCCATAAGACCTCACTCACCCTCACTTATTCTCTAGGAGTGATACCTAGCCTGTACAAAATTGAATGTGTCTACCAGAGGTCACTGGTCACTGATACAATTAATGTAAAGTTATGAAAATACAAGCTCACCCCCTGTTTTCAAACAGTACAGGACATTTCACTAGGTGATACCATTCATACAGTCAGGGAGGGGGAGGAGTGAATGGACTATGCCATTTCACTGTCAGCATTACATTATCAGTCCAGAGACTGAAAAAGATTGCTATATCAGTTTTATGTACCTTTATTTTAGAAGTATATAATTTAACCATATTTACTGTATGTTGGCATGATGCTCAATTGCTAAAAAGTTTTAGTAAGCTGTACTGCTAGTAATGTCTTTAGGATCCTTAAAAATACCTATTTGCAAGTTTTTTGAACATTTTTATTTATACATTTTTATCACACGTACTGTTTGTGAGAAAAATACTATTTTTGTTTTTATAACTAACATTTCAGACCCTGAGTAAAATATTGCAAGATAAAGGACACTACATACTGTCTAAAGCTTTTCATTTACCAAATATTTTGATAAAGTATGTACGAATAAGTGAAAAATGTGTAACTTTGTCTGCAAAGCAATCGACATGCTAAATTTCTGTTGTGGTATATTCATATGCTAGCTATGCATCCCTTGCTTCAAATAAATACAATGCTAATATTTTTTTCAATCAAAAAAATTGGTTGGTATCAAAGGAGTGAACCACTCTAGTGGTAACAGATCAGTTGTAGACTCATTTAAGTAAGCCATCTTCAGTTCTTTATTTTAAAACTAATTTATCTGTGGCAGTACTAATTATATGTAATTTATTAGCTAGTTTGTACTTGTATTGTAAATTTGTAACTTGTTGAAAATGTTGTTGGTATCTAATTGAAATAATATTAAAAATAATTACTTGCTAGGTTTGAAGTATTTTAAAAAAAAAATTATTTTCAATTGGAGTAAACAGAAAGCTTGCCATTAATAAATGCACATTTAATTATTGCCTTTTAAACACCCTTTGCATCTATTTATTACAATAGCTGATTGTTAAATTTAGTGAAGTCAATAAAGAAAATACTTCTCAATGACGTCAATGTGAGAGAACAAATATAAAGTAAAGTAGTGGAAACAAATTCAGATGAAGTAGTAATATGACATGCACTATTGTTATTACAGGTGTTCTCTTGCTCTTAATGGTACCAGCAGAGTTAAGCAGTGTACAAATGAATCTTGCACAACAAGAGCTTGTAAAATTGATGGCAGAACTGGTCTTTACGAAGAGGAATGCTTGTTTTTCCCAGATTATAAACAACTTGTTAAAGAATCCATCATGCATATTCAGGCCATACCCTCTGTAAGTATCGCATCTTTTCATATGCAAAGCAGCTGGTTGAATCTCTAAGTTCATCAACAAATATGGAACACTTCGAGGAATTTATGATATAATGAATAATTTTGGCATGCTGGCAGTACATGCATTAAATACCACTTTTAAAGAATCACCTAATAAAAAGTACTCTTCGGAATACCTTCATCCCCTGTGCGGAAGTAAGCGACTACAATAATGAAAAGTCACAATAATAACTGCATCATGATGACAATAATGTGTGGGAAATAGCCTATAAAAATCAAAAGGTTTCCTTGGGGACTCCTGTTTTACATTATTCTATAATTAAGGCACAGTAAGTGCAATGAGATGTTAAAGTGAGATTTAAATTAGTGAATATAATCTCTATAGCTATACTTTATGTGTGCTGGAGAGTGATTAATGTTCTAGTGCGAGTAGGCTTGTAGCCTGTAGGCGCACTATGACACTAAGTAAAAAAACAGGAATCTGCTAGTCTCACTGAGACCATTAGTTTATATAATGCCCCAATATTTGCTAAAGATGTTCTTGTTAGTTGCTATGTGATAAAACAGAAGGTCACTGACATGGTACACAATAGGTACTAGGGCTAGAAAGACTGAAAACCTTAATTGTACTCTATTTGCTTGGAGTTGCTGCATTTTCCTGGAAAAGGGCATGGTAAAAATGGTCATATATAATTCTTTATTAATTAAATCCCTTTACTCTTCTTCAAGTATTGTGTAGCATCCCTCTGTTTATATTAGTTTTTATTTTTCTTAACTTAATGCCTACTGTCTACTCATTCACCTGGTGGTAATTTAGCCAATCTTAATAACTAGGTCAAAATATACAGGTAGCTGTGTCTCCTCCAATTGAATGAGTGTAAATATCATCCAGCTTAAAGCCACAAATCTCCTGAAATTATTCTGAATTTTATTTTTTTAGAGAACACTCTCCAGGAGAAAAAAAGTATATAAAGTGAGTTTATTTATATTTTTATATGGATTATAGTTATGTATCTCATGGATTTGTTTATCCTTATTTTCAGGTTTCTGAATTTTGTAATGACAGTAATCATAACATAGAAGCGCCAACACTACAAAACCGAATGTGTAATTTACGTAGCACTTGGGACGTCATTATGAGTTCCCCTGATATGATTTTCAACCCTCCAAATGATTTCATGATTACACCTCCTGACCCTACATTTTCACTACTGCAATACGGAGACAGAGTTATTAACCTGTTACTCGATGTGTCTGGAAGTATGAAAAATGTAAGTTTAAGTGGCAAACCTATTGATATTGATGAAGTTTAATATGCAAACACTTGATTGCTTCATTAGTGATTTCTTTATAATTAAGTTTTTAATTTGTTGTAACTGGAATCAGGAAAAGTACAGCATAATCTAAATGTTCACACTGAACAAAAAAAGAAAGAAAAAAATGAGGATTAATGTATTTAAAACTTAATTTTTATCATACAAATGTATAAGAGAAAATTTACTAATCCATTGGAGCTGAAATCATTTGCTATTGGTGCAGTACACCAAAGTGGTCCCTAGGGGTCTCCTTCCTATAAGCATTTCAATGCATAACTAATTGGTTCAACAAAGAATACAATTTTTGCCTCTTTCCATTTTAAACATGGATTCCTTTGAGCCTGTGTCTGCTGTATACAACAGTTTGAAACACAACTTAGGAAAAGATGCAGAGCCAGTGAACCACTCATGGACAGCTGTTTCAGTGTTAATGAACTAATTTGCATATGCCCACCCAGAACCCTTTGTGTTAGTAACATCACTGCAAATTTGCTATTTCTATGGGAAAAGCAAGTCTTATGGCTTGTCCGGTGTGCAGATTTTTGTTTAACATTGTATTGACTATCCACAGACTTCAGGTGGAAGGGGTTTTCAAACACAATTTTTCCCCTCCATAACTTTTTTGGCTATATATATATATATTTTTTTTTACTTAGATCATATATATATATATATATATATATATATATACTTTTTTTCTAAGTATTTTTTTTTAATTACTAAACTTTATGTAGTTATGCTTTCCGAAATAGTTCAGTATTTGAGGACTGCCTGACAACCCAGGCATTCCCTGTGCAGGTAGCACTATAGCCTGCTAAAGAGGCCATGTGTTCTCAATATTACATGGCCCCGAAGGGCCAGGCTGAATGCAGGAGGACTGCATTGGTCAGGCAGTCCCCCCAATCTGTACCACCACTGAATGTGATTATACTTGGCCGGGAAGACGTATCATGGCGATCTAATGGCGTTAAATCCCACATTGTGCAGAATGGCACAGTGTGCCCTGACAACATTAAGGGGTTATTTATGATGATAACAAAGTCTCCATTACTGACATTTCAGTAAAGATCAGTTCAAACACTATGTAAACAAAGGTTGTAATGGCTGTTAACTATTAAGACCTCGCAATAGTATGGGACAAGTCTAGAAAACCTTGCTTATTTGCCAGCCATATAGCGCAAAGTAACTGGTGAACCAATGGTACAAAAAGGATAAAAAATTTAGGTGTTTTTAGATTAAAAAAAAAACACTTTAGACACAAAAAGGTAATGCCGAAATCTTGGACTGGTTGGGGGTACTTGAAGACTGGGTTGGGAACCCCTGCTGTAAGGTATCTGCCTAACTAGATGTATATACATTATGCCACATTATGTAAAACACATTAACATCTAACCAAACTTCGGCATTCTGATTGGTGAAACATTTCTAAGTCAACTTTTTTTATATGTATATCACCATTATAGCCAAATTCTCATATCATCTGATCTACAACAGAGTTACGTACATTTAATGTGTCAGAAAGGTGAGTATAATTCATATAAAATGAGAATGTCAATAATCACAAGTATGCTGTATAGAATTGGTTTAGTCAACTCTATGAATAAAACTATTATGAGTAAGTATCTAGGCAGGGTTTGGTAAATTTTGAAGACTTGCTACACAGTAGTGAAGATCAAAAATGCTATTTGATTTAAACTATGAATATATGTGTCAATCCATCATGCTCACCTAATATTGTCCAAGAGTGATATAAGGCATATTTTAACCCCTTTTTTACCATTGTATCACCAGTAACTTTGTGCTGCATGGCTGGCAAAAATGCAGGGATATCTAGACCTTTTCCATACTATCCCAGGATCTTAATAGGGTACAGCGATTACAACGCTATGTTTTACATGGTGTTTGAACTCATCTTAATTCATCTTTACAAAGTAATGGAGACTTTGTTATCATCATGATCAGATTTTTTAGAAGGTGTATTGTCCCTTCTTGTTTTTGTACTTGACTCAGAAGTCTCTATCAATATTTAACTACTAACTTATTATAGAAAATATGCAATGGAACTGTGACCCCTAGGGGCCAATTTGGGGTAATATACATGTAGCGATCCATTGAAATGCTCATAGGACTGAGACTCCTATGGACCAATTTGGGGTATTACACCTATAGCAAATTATTTCAATTCCTATAAATTTGTGATCCCTGAAGATTACTTGAGGGTACTATGGAAGGGAATTTAAGCTAGGAATACATGTTAAAATCTATTTTGCTCAGCTAATATTGTGCAAGAGTGATATGAGACATGTTTTCATCCTACATGACAATGTAGGATTATGAATTAAGAAGAAGCATGTAAACAGTTTCTCTTATACATTTGTATAGTAGATGGAATAAAAGTTGTTTTAAGGGCATTAATCCAGATTTTTTCTTTCTTTTTTTTGTTAAGTCATATTGAAGGTTGAAAACCCCTGAATTGTGTGGATTGCTCTTTTTCACTTTTAGGATTCTTTCTTGCTAAACCTTCTCACTGAAATTGTAGCTCTTAATTCTTAGCAACAATATAGTATTGCTATAATGTTAGGAAATTCACTAAACCATATATTGTAGACAATTTATAAGTAATTGCATTTGTTTTGGAAAAATAGCGTCATTAAAAAAATTCTTCAATCTTGGCAAAAGATTTGAAATTCTCTGGTAAGTTGAAAATGTATTTGTATTTGATCATTTAAGCCTACATTTAAAACGGTCATTAATGTCAAATAAATTAAGGTGGAATACATTAATTGACTTCTGACTAACTGACTTCCAAGAGCATAGTCTAATGGTGTGTGCATACAAATATTTAAGGTAAACGAACAAAAATTGTTAATTATTACAACACATTATTACATTTTGTATTTGTTTCAGAATGACAAGATTCTTCGACTGTATAAAGCAGTAAATTTAGTCCTTACTCAGATTAAAATAGGTTCTTTTATTGGAATTATTGAGTTCTCTGATATAGCAACTATTATTTCAAAACCAGTTCAAATAAGAAATGAATCTGACCGTGAGACGCTAAAATCACTTCTTCCAAAGACAGCAACATACAAAACATCAAGCCTTTGCCCAGGAATCTTATCAGCAATTGAGGTATGCAACTTATTTTTTTTGTTAATATGTTATATGAAGTATGTAAACATGTATACAGTGGTGATGGCTACTTCCTCAGGTGATGGATTGCACAAATAATAATCAAAATAGTATGTAAAAAAAATAAAAATTATATATATATATATATATATATATATTGGAAAAATAAAGCGGGCTCAATTTATTGGTTTTCAAGTCATATTTACTCATAACGTCCACAGTACATGTATGTTGAATATGATTATCTATGTATGTATTATTTATTATCAGATTTCAAGCAAACCACACATTATTATGTGTAGCAACTGAGAGTATGTTTTAACTCGAGCAAAATAGCTTTAAAAGCTATCTAATTTCTACACAATTTAAAGTTCTTTTCATGAATGACTTTTAATTGTCAAAACATAGCTGTGCCAATTGAATTTAAACCATATGTCTATTCAGATACAGGAAATTTATTTATTTCAACCAGATTTGTACTTTCTCTACCAAATCTATACAAACCTTGGCAAAATTGAGTATTCACAAATTCACAATTTTGCAGATTTGGCATTTCGTGATTTAATTTAAGATTTCAGATTATTTTTCTGGTAAAACATTTTGGTTAGATGAAATGATAATGTTAAAAAACTTAAGTCGTAACCAGTAATGTAAAAGAAGCAGTTTTTGGTTTTAAAAATAACTTCCTAAGGGGGCGGAGCCTAATCTTTCATGGAGACAGATGCGTGAGCCTTTAGCTCTCCTACCTCGGGGCACACAATCCACAATCCGCAACGATACACCCTTTGTGCACAAAAACCCTCCTTATACCTCTCCAACATGGGGGGGGGGGGCAACAAAAAAACGCAAAGAACACACAACATCAGTGGCCACGATGTTCCTAGCAGATGGCCTGGAAGACCTCAATAACAGATCCTGAAGGCAAAACACCAGGAATAGGAGGTTGCCGGAGTCTGTTGCCCCTGATACTATACTCCCTACTGTAAGGGCAATTTTTCAATCTCTCCTCGCAGAGGCCACCGACCAGGCACTGTATATTCAAGATAGCCCTACATCCCCCGGCCTTCAACCCTAACATACCCAGGGACATACACTGAGGAAAAGCAGGAAGCTGAAACCCCTCACCACGGCATTGGCAGAGCAAGGATGGCACTATATGTGGGGACACCCCTTCAAACTCCTTGTCAGGAAAGGAGAACAAATATACGCCCTTCACCAAGATAACGACATGGAAGGACTTTGCCAAACAACTGGGGATATCGCTGCAATACCCATCATCCGATACAGGCTCATTAGCACCATCGGGCACCGGCCAAAAGGAAGGCAACCTACCTCTTCCACCTCGCCAACAACCTAGGAAATGTCCTACAATTGCATCCAAGGGACATACTCAAACTGGCACCTGAACCACGAGGCGCCCTACCGTAAACTTCCATCAGGTTTACCTTCCACCATTGTCGGTCTTAGATTGTTCTGCATGTAAATAGTTAATGTACCTCTAAATGTAAATAATTAGCACTTTTTATGTCAACCATGGTACCCTATGTCCGGGTGCTCTAACTTACACCTGACCAGCTCTCTTAGCCAAATGGTTCCGGGAGGTTACAAGGGCACCTATTCCTGGCTCACTGAATGAGTCATAAGCTTCAGATCCACACTATGGCTCCACACCCAGGGGTTCATGATAGAAGCCCAGATCAACACACCCTACCGGCGTACAAACTTTAAATACCCTTGCACGTGGCCACATTTAAACAGCCAACCCTGAATTGACTTGTGCTGTTAACCGCGACATCCTCGGGCTATAACTATATATGCAGCGCCCCACGCTCCCATCCAAAGGGTATCCGCAGCCAGATAGTTGACTCATGAGGCATGACCCTCTGTCATCCTTCCAAAAAACCTTAACAAGGTTTGCTTCTCGCTAAAGCTGGTCTTAGAAGGGTTTATGCATAAATAATTATTGCTTTTTTCAATGTACCTTGCTAGCAAAGTCTCCTAAAACCATGGTAACTGTTACGGTACCTTCAGCATGAAATGTACAAACCGCCGTTTAGTGAATGTCCCTGTTCGCAATAATGCAGGCTGTATGCGTATCCAATACAATCATGTGAACCACCAGTAAGGGAACACTCCAAACTCCCGAACGGTATCCATACGGTCACTTCCCTCCACGAGCTTCAAGCTCACGAACCATCAATAGCAGCCGAACGCCGGTATCTCCCAAGCGGCTAATAATTCCATATAGCAGTCTCTAGTCGCCGGTAATAAAATCCTTCCAAAAAACCTTAACAAGGTTTGCTTCTCGCTAAAGCTGGTCTTAGAAGGGTTTATGCATAAATAATTATTGCTTTTTTCAATGTACCTTGCTAGCAAAGTCTCCTAAAACCATGGTAACTGTTACGGTACCTTCAGCATGAAATGTACAAACCGCCGTTTAGTGAATGTCCCTGTTCGCAATAATGCAGGCTGTATGCGTATCCAATACAATCATGTGAACCACCAGTAAGGGAACACTCCAAACTCCCGAACGGTATCCATACGGTCACTTCCCTCCACGAGCTTCAAGCTCACGAACCATCAATAGCAGCCGAACGCCGGTATCTCCCAAGCGGCTAATAATTCCATATAGCAGTCTCTAGTCGCCGGTAATAAAATCCCCCCAATAACGAGACCAAGCTCCGCATTGAGGGTAAAAACACGAACTGAGTTTACTGTGGGCTACCCGCCCGTATTTATGCAGGTCTGCCACTTGGTGGACACTCCCCTAGGGGACCAAATGGGAGACTGGAATAGCAGATGGACATATGGCATTTCAGGACATACAGTCACACAATATTCCCAGCATACATCACAGTTTCCTCCCCTCTGCCCGGGAGATAATTGAGAAGTAATTCAATTATCTCCCAGAGCAGAGGTAAATCGCCATTTTAAATGCAAATCATAAAACACATAAAAATACATAACTTTATAACTGCCGAACATTTCTCATTCGTGTAACACATCCCCAGATAGCCTGGATCTGAGTGCATATTGTTGGCGAATAGCGCTCAGATCCTATACGCATAGTTCAATCGCCATGGAGTCAAAGTCTATTACAGTTCTTCGGTATGCGATTGACTCCATGGGAAGGCTATCTGGGGTAAGTCCATTTGTGCCTTTAAATCTCCTGAACGGCCGGTGTTCGCACACTTCGGTCAATTGGAGAAGGGAGGTCGACGGCATCAGCGGTGTTCGGTTGAAAAAGTGTCTGTTTTCAGTTCCATGAATTTAGTACCGAACACCGCTGGTCTTTCGCATGGTTTAAAATGGCCGCCGCCTCGTGGTCGACATATGAACGACGACCACCCTGTATTCAGTTTTAATTGAGAAGTGTCTGTGGTTATCCGCAACGTTCTAATTGGGATCAATAGGTTAACCAGCAGCACACTTCTCTTCTGGGTGGCCGTCCGTTCGACAGTTTTGTTTGGTAAAAAAGTCAATTCACTTAAATCCAGGCATACGAATGGGGGTGTTCGTGAAACAAGCAAACAGACGAATCCAGCAATCTTAGTCCATACGGATGGGTCTGTCACAGTAACATGGTAACAGACAGATTTTACAACCTACTCCCGATCAGTAACGGTAAACAATTGATTCTGGGAGGGGGAATGGGTGCCAACCCCATTCTCACTACCGTTGTTACATGCCTCAGAACTCAGCCACTACCACAACCCGCTCAGGGATCCATAATATAAGCCAATGACTATGCACCCTGTGGGGATACAAGCCTAGACTGCCCATACGTACTGCTAAACACAGTTGGACAAACCTGGAGGGACACACAAAGGTGCCAGCAGCATTGCCAGGCCGTTTCCCCTGTCTGTGGCCCCCTAATCCGTTCTCCTTGTTCAGGGCTCCGCGTACATGGGTCTGGGGACACGTAGAATGGGCATCGCATCTTGGGACCCCCACTGCCATGTCTGTACACGGCCCCTCAGATGACCTCACACTTAGGCAGACAATACTATCACGTGGCATATATTGTACACCTATCTATACCATTAGACATCACAGGACCAGGAGAAAGAACTAGTGGCACTTTCAACTGGTCTATCTTAAGTACACATGCCTCCCTTATGCGTTCACTTATGCATGTTCCCTTACCAGAGGCCGCGTAGAAAAGGACAACCCGACAATGCAATAGCATACCACATGCTGCACTCAAGGGCAATCCCTGCATCCGTGGATTGAAAAAGAAACTGACACTTACAACACACACCAGGGTTTCCATTACCATGGGGACCCCCAGATTGCCCCAGACAACACATGGTGCAATGTATGTATATAATTATGTTTAAAGATGTAAGCCTACTTTCAATGTTTACCCACATGTCATTGTCTGATCAATACCCAAGAACATCCCAAACTACATAGAGGTCTTCCATTAACTGCAAGTCAGATCAACTTCACCACCCGCAGACCAGGATTGAGCCCCCTACTTACAACCCACAACAGTCCCCAACTCACACTACCATGTATGATCAGACCCTGGTCATGGCGCTTGAACCCTACCCTCATTCACAACCCACAGATCCGAGAATCGATTTACCAAACTATGTCCGAATATTTTCGCTTAAACATGGATTCAGTAGACTCCAAATGCTCTCTGTCGGCAGCTCATAAAGCTGTCCAAAGAGGATCCATGATCAATTTAGCGACAATACACAAAAAAAAAAAAAAAACAGGTAGCCCACCTAGAAAACACATTGATGACTCTCAGATCCCTCGAGGACAAACTTAAACTTGACCCCACACCGGAATTCAACATGCAAATATCAAAATGTCAAACAGACATAAAAGAATACACGGCCTTACAATGGACAAAACAACCTTTTTACGATAAATCTAACATAGCCGACACATTATTAGCATGCAGACTGAAACAAAGAATGGCCCAGAAACAGACAAAATAATGACTCCAGACGCATCACTGACGGAAGACCCAGACTGAATTGCTGAAGTATTTAAAAAATACTTCACGGACCTCTATGACCATGACCCTCACATGCGCCAAAACCCATCCACAAACAAAACCCTCATAGACCACTGCTTAAGCCAAATACCACTTCCCTCTTTGTCTAGGGAAGCAGCACAGACACTAATAGACCAAATCCCACCAGAAGAAGTAGCGGGGACATTAAAAACTCTTAAGCCAAACAGAAGTCCCGGAATGGATGGATTCACAGGACTTTACTACAAAACATTCACCCCAACACTGATCCCACACCTATGCAACCTCTTTAACGTCATCCTATCAGGAGAGCAACTACCAAAAGAAATGCTCCAAGCGAATATCTGCCTCCTCCTCAAACCTTACAAAATCCACCTGGACCCGGGACATTATCGACCGATATCATTACTAAACGTGGACATAAAACTGTTCACAAAACTTAAAGTAGACCGCTTATGCCCCTTCTTGCCAAAACGAATACACCCGGATCAGTTGGGGTTTATCACTACAAGGCAAGCCAGCGACAATACGAGACGGACGTAATGCACTTATAATGTTATAGGATTTTAAAAGGAGATATACTTTTCCTTATGTTAATTAAAACCTATCTTTGTATTTAGACCTGGGTTTCCATTTCCAAACCCCCAAAATTACATTGGACAAACACTGGAAATTTAGACTTTTCACAGTAAAATTACACTATTTTCACTTCTCTGATAAATATGACCTTTAACCCCTTTAAAAATTTAGGACATTCCATTCAATCCTCCATAGAGTGGGCTTTAACGCTGTTAGGACAATGTCATAACTCTTTTCTGTTTGTCAATGCACACATATTGATTTTGAGTGCCATTTTTGCATCATCACTGATGCAGATGAGTCTACTACTGTGCTGAGCATCAGTCGGGTGTCAGTAATGAAGTGAAATGCTTGCTATCACACTGCTCAATCTATTTTGAGCTTTTTTGTGTAGATGCACTGAATTTTTAAAAATTATTATAAGCAAAAATGTTAAAAAAAAAATGCATTTGTTTGCCATTATCTTATTATACCATTCATTTTTAACATTTTATTCACACAATGTTTTTCTAGGTAAAGCTTTAGTATAATAAAGAAAGCCCTTTCAGTCCTTTAAAACATAAATAAAATACATAACATGTATGTGGGTACTTAAAGGAACACTATAGGATCAGGAACACAAACATGTATTCCTGACCCTATAGTGTTAAACCCACCATTTAGGTGGCTTGCCCCCCCTCAGCCCCCTTAAAAGGAATTAAAACTCACCTTATTTCCAGCGCCGCGTGGGTCTGCCGGCGCTGGCCCCGCCCCTCATCCGCCTCCTTGATGACATCATCAGAATTGCCAATTTTAAGACAATCCAATGCTTTCCCACATCGGCAAGGAAGAGGGATTGGGGTGGGGCCATATGCTGTTTTGGCCAATCAGCACTTCTTCATAGAGATGCAATGAATCAATGAATGTCTATGAGGAAGATTCAGCGTCCCCATGCAGAGCATGGAGATGCTGAACGGCAGTGCTGACTACTGTGCAGCACTGCCCCAGGAAGCATCTCCAGTGGCCATCAGAGGAGTGGCCACGTGGAGGTGTCCCTAGGGGTAATGTAAACACTGCCTTTTCTCTGAAAAGGCAGTGTTTGCATGAAAATGCCTAAAGGCAATGATTATATTCACCAGAACAACTACATTAAGCTGTAGTTGTTCTGGTGACTATAGTGTCCCTTTAAGTAGAAACACTTGTGTTATGGTCAAACAAGCACACAGCACAAATTCTAAGTTCTGTTTTGTTCACAACTTCAGTTATCACCTCTGTCCTTAAAGACGTTCTCTACCTATTAAATCACGTTTTTTTTTTACATCTTCAAGAGTATTGAATAGAAACGATAATACATTGTATTCATCATAATACACATTTATAGGTCAAAGTATCTACATGTGATATCATTATAAAATGCACTTTCTTACACATTTAGATGAACAAATTAGTTGATGGCTCTTCGAATGGTACAGAAATAGTTCTGCTTACCGATGGTGAAGATCCTTTTATTAACTGCTTTGATGAAATAAATGCAAGTGGAGTCACAATTCATACCATTGCCCTGGGATCAGAGGCAGAGGAAAAACTTGAAAAAATAGCAGATATGACTGGTGAGTTTTCTAAAAAAAATTCAGTATGGAACTAAGATTTTTTTTTTCTTTTGTCTCTCTTTATGGCCTAATCCTTCCTAACCTCTACATCTTGTACCTTACCTTATTAATGTCCTACTCTCACTCTTTGCCCACTCTTAACAAATATTTTACATTAAGCTATATATGATCCATCCTACCAAGATTTTAAATTCCCTGAGTCTCTTAACATGGCTACGTTAAATGTAATCTTTTTTAACACATGGATATCCTTCTCCTTTCAATAACTGTGATATTACAGCTGTTTTCTTTGCTATTTTGCATATTTATTTTATTAAGGGCTTGCTCAAAGTTTGTGGAATACTTTCCCTTTCTTTTCCACACTAAAGTGTACAGTGAGATGCATTTTATATGTATATATATATATATATACAGAGTGCTGCATTCACCTTAACATGCATAAATGGGGTGCTGTTGGGGCCATTTATTACAATACACATGATTCAGTGCACTCACTCATCTACTCCAGCAACTATAAAGCTCACATATTTTATTAGTTTAAATTTTTTTAAAATAAATCACCTAATCTAGGCAAAAATAATGGGGTTTTAGTTACCGTATATATGATCATACATTGCATAAGCCTGCCACAACTTCAATATACCGCATCTTTGGCAGGTCCTTCAATACAAACCGCTGTTATGAGATTAACCCACTTACATGGGGAAAAACATTCCATCTGGGGCAGTATAAGGTCAAATATAGGCCAGAAATGAGGCATCCGTCCCTGTCACAGTGCTAGGGACATGGTCTTGGTATACTGCTGCACTGGTGTCATGCTCACACTGTTTGCATTTGTTATACTCAGCGCTGGATTACGAGCCCATTATGCCTGGTGCTGACAATTATGATGGGCCTAATTATTGACGGAAAACACTAAAACAGTTCTACCTTAAAAGCGTCATGTATCTGGTGGAGGTGGTGCTGGAGGGAAATTCACAGGATATTGCTATCTGAAAACACATACTCTATGCCAATCTCCTGCTTTCATCTTTCAAGTAAATCCATACGCTCTAACAGCAATGTCCGGTGAAGCAGGATTTCAGTAGGCAGGGTAAAAGGGTGGGCCACTGATGTGAATCACGTAACCAGAACTGGACAAACATGCACAAAAGGGGGCGTGTCTGCACAAAGAATTAGATGTTCAGCCTAGCGTGAATGCTCATCGGACTGTCTGCCAATCATGCAGGATGACCAACCAAGGGCATACTGTGCAGACAGCACCCTGAGCTTGGCATAAATGCATCTAATGATGCACTAGCTCTATGCTTTCTAAGGACTGTCCCCTACAATTCACTTGTATACTCTTTTCCTTTTCTTCTTACTAGCAGGCAGAAGCTCCTCTGTAACAAAGAAAAGGTGTATGTAGTGAGTGTAGAAGAAAGGGAACATGCCACAGCAAGAGCATTTACACAGTGTGCAAAGTCAGCTTTACTTTAACTAATTTAATTGTCAGCCAGTCCAAACCAGTTTTGTTCACCTATTTAGTTTCTATGCTTAAGCAAAAGCAAGTGAAGAGTAGTAAAAAATAAATAATTATATATATATATATATATATATTATTTTTTTTATTTATTTTTTTACATCAATGGGCTTATTCCATAGGCATGTGCCTGGAGCTGCATGTTAATCTGGCCTGGTTAAACTGATTCCTACATATTCAGTCTGGAACCTATTTTATTCAATAAACTATATGGAGTACAAAAGTATTAAAGCTATTATTAAAAATATTCAATGAAGTCTATAATTTTATACCTGAAGTACTTTACATAAATTTCATTTTAATGCATCAATCTCTTCTACCCACTTTTAGTTTTAAGGCATATACTTTATTCTTGATTTAATTTCTGGGTCAGTACTACACTGTTTCACTCCTCAATTTCAACTAGAATACTTCTCCATGCATCTTCATTTTTTTTTCTCAAAAGGAGGAAAGATATACTGAAGCCAATACAAAATATAATTAAATCTTTGTCAAACTTCCAGGAGGAACAGATGAGAAAGGAGCAATTACCCTTTCATATACAATATTCTGTAGACACTATAAGAGCCTGCACATTTTTAATATACATTATAAAAAAAAAGATCTATAGACATAAAAGCCAAACATACATAGAACAGTACTGCATACACCGCTGGTTTATTGTGTTTTATATTGCAGTCACAAGAATGTAGAGGGTAGATGGTGTAGCTCCAAATATCCAAAAGGATCTTATTGTCAGCGATTTCCACATTTTACCTTTTGAAATTCTTCATATGGAAAAATATAAAAATAAAAACAAAACATTGTGTGCTCCTTTAAAAATATTACATTACGTTACATTAAATTAATGCACTTACTGGATATTAAATAAGTAAAGCATATCACCACTACTGGTATAAAATGTCAATATCATAGTTACTCCACACCATATATAATCTTCAGGGATGAAATAAGATAATATAATAACAAAAGTTGAAACCCTATTTTGTTCCTTTTGCACATACTTCAACAGGGAAAAATCACTAATAAAACTTGTACAATTAATAAAAGAATAAATACAATAAATGCCCTCCTAACCAGAATCCTTTTAACCCCTTAAGGACACATGACGTGTGACATGTCATGATACCCTTTTATTCCAGAAGTTTGGTCCTTAAGGGGTTAAAGTGCTTTTTCCACTCTGATCCAAACATCTGTTCATCATTGTCTCGTTCACCGCTCAAATTGCATTCCAAGCCTCAGTTTCATGATGGCCAGTCAATCAGAAAAGGTGTCTTTACCTTCATGTTTCACCACACAGGAGCTAACATATCTCTCGTCATGGATTGTGTTCTATCATATTCTCATATACCAAGATAGAGATAAAGATACATAGTAAATTCCACAACAAAACCAAAGCAGTCCCTGGCCATATCTAAAGTCTAAGCCTATCCCACACATTTTTAAACTCTCTCACTGTGTTAACCTCTACCACTTCAGCTGGAAGGCTTATTCCATGCATCCACTACCCTTACAGAAAAGTAATACTTCCTGATATTTTTAAACCTTTGCCCCTCTAATTTAAGACTATGTCTTAAATTAGACAACTTGTTGTGGCAATTTTTCTTCTTTTAGCTAATTAGTTATCTAAGATATAGGTGATCTGCTATATAGCAGGGTCATTTGGGTCTATTTCTTAACTTGGGATATCTTTATTTCTGTCTTGTTATACGAGAATGTGATGGAACTTAATCTACAATGATAAAGTTGTTACTTCTTGTGTGGGATAATGCACAAATCTGATGATGCCTTTCAGGTTTGTGTGGCCGGCATGAAACTGAGCTTGTAATGCGAATGGAGTTGTGAACAGGGATCAGGGACATTTCAATTGGATAATAGGCCAATTTAAGAGCAAAAAATAATGCTGGTCCAAAAGAGGGTTATTGTATTAATTCGTATTTTGTTGTAGGTGTTTTATTGGTGATTTTCCCCCAAGACAAGGTCTGAGCATAATGGATTAAATTAATACGGTTTTACCCATTTAAAAAAAAGAAAATTATTATTTTATTGGACTCCATCCTTGAAAATTTGGAAGGATGTAGAGAACCACGGAAATAACCTGTAAATGTTTTCATTTTTTAATGTTGCAATATTTTTTAAATGTGCACACTATGTCCTATTTTACTTTTTATATTTATGCACATGAGGAATTTTCAAAAGGAAAATGTGTAAATTTTATATTTATGCACATGCGGAATTTTTAAAAGGAAAATGTGGAAATTGCTGAGATAATATGCCTGTTTGGGAGATACACCCTCTACTGTGTACATTTTTGTGAGTGCAATATAAAACACAATAAACAAGCGGCGTCTGCAGTACAGCTAGTTCTATGTTTGTTTTACTTTATGTCTGCAGATAATTAGCTTTTTGGCATTCTGCACATTTGTGTAAATTGTCCTTCCAATGTCTTCTTGTTATAATTTCCCTCTGTCTACAGAAAAAAAACACTATCATTTGTAAAATCTCTTGAGAAAGATGTTTGTTTGCATGATGGCACATTTTCTCTTTCTTTGCATTAAGAAGGACAGTTTTTCTCAAAATGTATTATTATTTAGCTGTCACAGTAACCATTCTGGCAATTCTCTGTAAGTGCAAGATTATGGGCCAAGCATATATTTATTCATATTTAAAAACAGACACTATAGGCATTATGACCACTTAATTTCACTGAAGTGCCTACAGTACCTAATGTCCCCTGGCGAGGCCCCTTCATTCAGTGGTAAGTCAGTTTGAATTATTTCACATTGAATGAGGGTCCATGGCACCTGCAGTCATACTGAACTGGAGGTATGGCAAAAACTTAGCCATATAATTTCATACCAACAATGAGAGCTTGTGATTGGCCAATTTGGTAAGCTGGTACTCCAGAACTCCTATCAAAGCTCAGGCTAACATGTAAGTTTAAGACTTAACTAAGGGATGCTAGGAGACTCCAAGCATTAAAACTACTTCAATGACATGAAGTGGTTATAGTGCCTAGAGTGTCTCTTTTTTCCCTTGCTTACTAATTATTCTTCATAAAATCAAAACCCTATTTTATTTCAGAAACAATTTTTTTTTTTTTTGCAGGCGGAACTCGTTATTTTGCATCAGATAAATTAGAATCTAATGATTTAATAGATGCTTATTATGAAATATGCAATAGAAATGAAGATGGTCTACAACATACAGTTCTGGTAAAGTATGACACATTACATTTGTCGTAAAAAGGGAATTATTTTCTTTGTAATTACAAGTTGTATCACACCTGATCAAAACAGTAAAGCCATCTCTAGGAACTTTAGTTCTGTTTTTATTTTTAGAAATATTCAATATTGTATCCTTTTAGATGACAGGTAGATGGTCAATAGCACATACACTGATCAGCCACTATATTAAAAGCACTAACAGGTGAAGTTAATAGGATCCAACTTATGAAATTCCATCACCATTTCCCTTGTCAAAGTCACTCAGATTTTTTTTTACTTCCCAATTTTTGCTGATTCCAACTTATGAAATTCAAAAACTGCCTGTATACTTGCTGCCTAACATACCTTACCCCTTGACAGGTACCATTGTTACAATGGTACCTGTCAAGGAGTGGGATATATTAGGCAGCAAGTATACAGGCAGTTTTTGAATTTCATAAGTTGGAATCAGCAAAAATTGGGAAGTAAAAAAAAATCTGAGTGACTTTGACAAGGGAAATGGTGATGGCTAAACAGCTGGGTCAGAGCATCTTCAAAATAGCAAGTCTTATGGGGTGGTTAGTGTTATGCAGTGGTTAGAATCTAACAAAAGTGGTGCAAGGAACGACAACCAGTGAACAGACATTAGGGTCATGGTCACCCACAGCTCATTGATGCATGTGTGGAGCAAAAGCTAATCTGTCATTCCAGTCACACAGAAAAGTTACTATAGCTCAAATTGCTAAAAAACACAATGCTGTCCATGATAGAAAGGTATCAGAACACACAATGCATTGCTGTTTGCTGTGTATTTGGCTGTGTAGAAACAGTCAGAGTGCCCATAATGACCACCGTCCCCCGCCAAAAGCACCTTCAATGGAGATGTGAGCATCAGAAGTGAACCATGGGGCAATGGAAGATGGTTGCTTGGTCTGATGAATTATGTTTTCCCCCGTCTTGGGGAGTCTATGCCTCAATACATCAGTGCTGTTTTGGCAGCATGGGGGGAACCTACACAATAATAACGTTGTGATTGAACAGTGTAGCTGCTTACAGAATAATGTCATACCATGTCTGGATGCCTTAAAAAATACCTATCTGATCACAAATCTGTCTTTATTTAAATTTTTTATTCTACAGCTTGAGAGTGCCAGTGCAATTATTCAGCCTCAAGAGTGTTTGAGTGGCACTGTATTCATCGATAACACAATTGGAAATTCTACTCTCTTTTTTGTTATTTGGCAAATTTCAGTTCCAACTATCAGTTTGAAAGATCCATACAAAAAAATATACACTGAGACAGAATTTATCAATGATGCATCATCAAATTCATCCAGGCTTGAAATTCCTGGAACAGCAGAGGTAATATATACTGTAATCCTTAAAAGAAAAAAACTATTTATTTTGTAAGAATAAGTAAAAAATGTTCAAGAATATGTAGAAGTCGTAATGTTACACAAAGGGTATTGTTGCTAGAAGCATAGTACAATTAAAAAAAACACAAAACGCAGCTGTTTGCTCTAACATTCCTTATTCAGTGATTGGTGCTAGAGAGTAGATGCAATTGCAAATTAAAACACTCCCAATCCCAATGACTACTAAATTCAAGAATATACTACATGCATGCATTCACCTGTGCTGATGTATAAGAAGCTTGTTTAACAGGACAGTGCACCCTTATCATGAAAGTGGACAAAAGAAGGAACCATACCACATTTATAAAAAATAAAAAAAAAACACTTTAATTGGTCCTACTCTAACAACCTAATGTCGGCTCTTATGAGATTAACCCACTTTCTTGGGGAATAAAAATTCCATCTGGGGCTCTCTGCAGTACAAGGCTAAATAGGGCCCTCCGATGAGGCACCTGTGACAGGGAGGGGTGGAAAACCAAGGAGTTGAGCTAGATTTCCAAATATATATATATATGTGAAAACGGGGGCTGCACTCACCTGAACATGCATAAATGGGGTGCAGCTGGGGCCAATAAATACAATACACAAGATCCAGTGCACTCAGCAACTTCGAAGCTCACAGATTGTAAGCTGCAGAGAGCCTTGGATGGAATTTTTTCCCCCAGTAAGAGGGTTAATTTCATAAGGGCAGACATTAGGTTGTTAGAATAGGACCTCCCAAAAATGGGGTACATTGATGTTGTGGCAGGCTTATGCAATATATGATCATATACTGTAACTAAACCCCCATTATTAGATTAGGTGTTTTTAAAAAAAACTAATAAAATATGTGAGCTTTGAAGTTGCTGTTTAGTGGGTGACAGAATGGGCTGGATCTTGTGTATTGTTTGAATTGGCCTCAGCAGCACCCCATTTATGCATGTTCAGGTGAGTGCAGCCCCCTGTTTTCACAGGTTTTAAATATGAAATAATATTCTATTTTTTTTTCTCAAGAGAGGATTATGGCAGTACGACATTTGCAATAATAACAGTTCAAGTCAAGCATTTGGTGTAATTGTGACATCCACGGCAACAGATGAAAATGTCCACCCGTTGGCTGTAAATGTCCACATGAGTAAAAATATATATGTGTATCCTGAACCAATAATTGCCTATGCAACAGTGAAGCTGGGGCTTTTACCTCTAACAGGTTTAAATGTTACAGTGATTATGGAGGGAGAATATGGAACTTCGGAGAGTCTACAACTTTTGGATAATGGAGCAGGTAATGGAAGCAATATTTTGGAATTGGTTAATGAGAAAATGAGTCAAATAGCCTACAGACTCTTCCTTTGCTGAACTATTTCCTTGAATTTATTTATTTTTATCAATGTATTAATTATAACAAAATAAGAATATTAACTTTTATTCTGTACACTAACACATTTTATATAATAAGCGTTAAAACATATAAATGGCATTTCAGCTGATCATATACTCTTGATTTGGAGTGAAGGTACACACAGTGGATAAAATACATTATGACAAAGCTTAATTAACAATTGCACATTAAATAATGACAAAAAAAATAAGACTAATATTGCATATAATCAAGACAAAATAACATTCAGATATTTAACACAAAATGATATAATAGAGCTAACAAACAGTTACCAGTGCATAATAATAATTTCTACTTAGCTTTGTTGTTCCAACAGCCCAGTCTGAGATATCAGACACAATAATATGCATATGGACTTCCCATAGTCAATGACACCTCTGGATGAGCAGCACAGTGCCTGCACAGCCAAGAGAACAGCCTAATCTTAATCTTTAATAAGGAGAGGGTTGGGCTCTGTACACTCAGGGGAAGGTATCTGGTAACCATTCAAAAGTCTTAGTTGAAAGTGACCTTCCCTGAAGGTGGTTGCAACTTCCTTATTATTATGTGACATCCTACAGAAGCACATGGCAATACCTACATGTTGCCATTTTTAATTTCTTGGCAGAAAAATAAAAGCACCTGGTGGTAAACCAAAATATTGCATGAATTGATTCCAAAATATGTTTAGGTCTTTTGCAGGTAAAGGGTGTGTCCCAGCCCTCAACAGTTTTGCATTATGACTAGCAATAAAACATATAGCATCCAAAGTTACTTGAATACAATCACTTTACATCTTTTATTGCCACTAATGAATTAGGGCCAAATACATCTGCAGAAAAAATGTTAAAGGTTATAGTTACATATATAATAAAATATTTCAGAAAGAGAAAAGAATCATGTAGATTAGCATTCATTGAGCTTTGGATGCAAATCTTGGATGCAATTTTGCATAAACAAAATGCTCAAGGATATAACTAATATATATGTAAGCAGGTTGTTGATCCAAGGAGAAATCCGAGTGCCCTTTTTGAGGCATTGTTGGAAATGTCTACAATTTTTTTTTATTTTTTTTTGCCTTTTTTGGATCAACAGCATAAAATAATGGGCTTCACAGTTCAACTTTTTAGTATTTGATTTTAGTTTTAGTATTTGTTTTAACCTAGACAACTATGTAACTATGTTATCAACTTAAAATAGAAGAGTTGAGCAAAAAAGCCAGGCTATAGTATTTAAATATTATGATTTTAAATGTTCAGAAAAAGAACATCTTACAGAGACATCTACGAAAATGTTATGCAGTAAAGTGCATCTACAGATCCTAATGGTCTTGGTGAATTCGGTTTTCAGATGCCAAACAGTTCTTTAAAACATAACTTGGAGAGTTGTTCACATTTTAAAACATTTGTTTTTTTTTACAATTATTCTTTCTGCAAATTTTTCAGATCACTTATACAGGGGATAGATTACATGATGATAAACCTAGGTTCCAATCTGTGAGACGGTCTTTATGCCACTAGTATTGGAAATGTATGCAATTTACCAATAGAGTCAATCTTTAAATTGCATTAGATACAAATTCTTATTCAAAAATTCACACTCCCAATGTAGATGCATCTGTGGATAGATTAGGCAAAACATCCACTGTACCTATAGACAGCATTAATACTGTCAGAAACCCCATGAATAAAACATTAATAACCTTGGAAGCAGGCTTGCTTCCTCATTCACTCATACTATTGTTTCTAGAGCAATAATGGTCGAGGCAAAGTATTTGGAAGAAGTCATCATGAATGGAGTGCATAGAGAATCATTATTCAATCAGCTAAATACTTAGCCACAGACTTTGTTTCCAAAGGTTTGCTGGTCTTTCTCCACAAGAATTGTGCTCACTATCTCATCTAGGTGTACCCTATGCATACACTCTTGGGGTGCAGACTATGCCACCAAGTAATGTCTATGTTCCCTTACCTTTTAAGGGGACTTATTGTTTGGCAAACCTCTCGATGGGGCAATTCAGAACACTGGAGAAGACTAAAAAAGCCTTCCTCCCACTCTAGAGGAAGTTCAGGAGTACATGGGCTTCATGGAGAGACAGAAGACCTAGAAATATTCACCTCTTTTGAGAAAGCAGATCTTGTAGACCTGAAACACAATACAATAGGTCAACAAACTGATAATATGGACAGTTGTCGAATAGCAAGGTGAATAAGAATGAAAGAACTGAAGCTAGTTAAAATAAATTCTAAAGCAACATAGGCCCCGGTGAAAAAAGTAGTAGCAAAACTATACACTTATATTTATATCAGGGCCAAGAACATCCAAGACCACTGGGCATTAGACATTATTAAACAAGGCTACAGAATTGAATTTGCACTCATTCCTCCTAAAGTCTTATTTTTAGAATCCAGAATTTAAAAAAATGACAGGGACACTATAGTCACCAAAACAACTTTAGCTTAATGAAGCAGATTTGGTGCATAGATCATCCCCCTGCAGTCTTACTTCTCAATTGTCGGCCATATAGGGCTAAATCACTTTGTTTTTGCAGTCCTAGGAACAGCTCCCTGCATGTGAATTACCCAGCTTTCCTAAACACTTCCTGTCAAGTGTCATCTAATGCTTACACTTCCTTTATTTTATATACGGTTTAATTTAAATTTTATCTCATGCTCATGCCTCCTCTATGTAATTAAAGTTCACTTTACAGAGCCGGAGATAACAACTTTTAAAGTAAGTTACATTGGATTGAAAATTAAGCCATTTTTGTTCATGCAGGCAGTCAAGGGAGGTGGCTAGGACTGCATAAACAGAAACAAAAATAATGTAACCCCTAAATGGCAGAGAATTGAGCAGTGAAATGGAAGAGGCGTGATCTATACACAAAAACTGCTTTATTAAACTATAGTGTCATTTTTGGTGACTATCGTGTTCTTTAAGGGGTCCGCCATGATATCATGCATGGAGAAGTTGTGGAAGAAACATCTGGGTGTTCATTCGACTCAAGTGCAGACTAAATTTAGATATAAAATGTATCAATTCATTTTTGCATATAAAGTCTTTCAAAATTGATTGAAGAATGTTTTATTGGTACTGTGTTAGCCAATTGACTAAATTAGAATAAAATAACAATAATAAAATAATAAAAGGGTATCACTTAATTTTTTTTGGTTATTTCATTCTCAAAATAGAATTAATAAATGCAATAATTCCAACTAGGAGACTGGTTTGCTTCAGTAGATGTTCGCAACGCATATTACTACATCCTTTTTCACTGTTTAGATTTAAGAAAATACCTACAATTTTACATAATGGAAACATAGTTTCAATTTAAGAGAATGCAGTTCTAGCCTCAAAAGTGTTTTGAAAGATACTTATTTCACTAATAGAGTAACTCATATTATTGGGAATAGGAATATTCCATTATCTTGACATTTTAATTGCAGCAGAGTATAGTAATCAAGCAGAAGAACATACAAGCACAGCTTTGGAAGGTCTGTTAAAGTTTAGATGTATTATACATTTCCTCAAAAGTCAATTACTTTAAGCCAATCAAGTGTATTTTCTAGTAGTAACTCTGAATACTGGAAATAAATGGATATTGTTATAAGAAGAATTTTAATGTTGTGGCTGATCAGTGTAAGTAAAACACTTGTTACAGTACTCAATCCCTATGGATCCTCCTATGGTTCTCCTAAGCAGCTGATGATGAATGAGAAATTTGACTTTTTGGTAACTATAGAATAAAATAATTCACAAACTGGTGGATGCAGTAAAAATTCTTAACGTAGAAAAAAGTGGAAACTAGAACATAGTGAGTAGAAATTAATTTGCCTGAATTTCTGTTGATTGATTAATTGACTCTTTGCATTAAGTCTTAATTAAGTGCTAATTAAACAATATATCTGTATGTTTTGTTTAAATTAGCACTTTGCCTCCATCATATTTTCCTTTCAGGCAGGAGATTTAATTTATCCGTATATCTGACCAAAATAAAATCCCAAACATACTTGGTGTTATCTTATTATCTCCAAAGTGCAAAACTTTAAAAGCCTTTCATAGATCCATCCAGTCATTTGCATAATGTATTCTTCATATTTATTTTATATCATTTTTTTTTTCAGGTGCTGATGTTGCAAAAAATGATGGGATCTATTCAAGATATTTCACTGCTATTAAAATGAACGGAAAATATAGCTTAAAAGCTTTTGTGGAAAGCAAAGAGAATAAAAGCAGGGGGGCATTACCCAGAAATCCTGCTCTTTACGTGCCTGGCTTCGTTATAAATGGTAAGAAACACTTGATTATTTCCAAAAACAATGGTAAGAAATACTTTATTATTTCCAAAACAAAACTGTTTTGAAACTAACAGAGTTAGTCAAAGTTAGAGTTCTGTGTTTATTTAGACCATAAAAGAGGGACTGGATGCTTAGCCGACTTTTTCTACTTCAGCTATTTTGGTGCTACATTTGAAGTTCATTTTGAATTCCCAACAATTCTAACTTCAGTAAATATTACCCCAAGCACGTTCTAGAAGTCAGAGTTTCTGTAGCTTGTCTCTTTCTGTCTTTTTTTCTCCAGTTACTTTTTATGAATACCTTCCTGGTAGTAGAGGTGGAGGGGGGAGGGACGTCAAAATATTCTTTATAGTGTCACAGGCACACTATGAAGAACAACTGATAAGGAAAGAACTATTGACAAGGAAATCCCTTGTTATGTGTGATAACATCACTGATGTATATCTAGACCCAGGAATATAAATATTAAAAGAACAAGCTTCAAGTTTGAGCATCACTCACCACCACTGTCACATAATAGATCTATAGCATATAGCTTGCATCACTCCCCAGAAGAGTGAATCCTCAATACTCAGTACATTGCTCCCAAATAATCACTCTTCCATGTGTCTCTTCAATGCTCCTATAACCCATTACATTCCTTCTTATACTTTGTGTCTTTCTCCATGTCTCTTCCAATGACCCTATCTCTTTTAATGTGTAATCATATCTCCACTTTATCACCTCAAGTTACCAGTGTACCAGAAAAGCTCTGAAGATTTTGGACAACAAAGAGCTATCAAATATCTTGACATAATAAAGCAATGCTATTGCCATTGTTTAAGAGTTGCACTTAGAGAGTGCTCATTTAACATACATACCTATGTTCAGAGTGTAGTATTTCCTTTACAAGGTATTCTCTTCACTTGAGACAAATGCATAGAAATGTGCACATATAGAAAGTATATAGATTACATTTTCTAAGAAAACTAGCAAAGTAAGTTAAAAAAAAAAGATATATATATATATATATATATATATATATATATATATATATATATATAGGTTATGGTGGGGAAAAATTGTATAGGTTTTGGTGGGAAAAATTGTGATTGAAAACCCCTTCCACCTGAAGTCTGTAGATATTAATACAATGTTAAGCAAAAATCTGCACACCAGTCAAGCCATAAGACTTGCTTTTCCCACAGAAATCACAAATCTGCAGTGATGTTGCTACCGCAAAGGATTCTGGGTGGGCATATGCAAATTAGTTTAACAAAGAATCCAATTTTTGCCTCATTCCATTTTAAACATGGATTCCTTTTAGTCTGTGTTTGCTGTATACAACAGCTTGGAACACAACTTAGGAAAAGATGCAATACCAGTGAACCACTCATGGACAGCTGTTTCGTTGTTAATGCAACTCATCAGCATGAGGTTGGTTACTGGTTTTTTTATTGAGGCTTGGTAGTGCTTGGAAATCCATAAAATGGAATGAGGCAAAAATATGATTCTTTGTTAAACTAATTTACATATGCCCACCCAGAATCCTTTGCGATAGCAACATCACTGCAGATTTGTGATTTCTGTGGGAAAAGCAAGTCTTATGGCTTGTCTGGTGTGCAGATTTTTGTTTAACATTGTATTAACTATCTACAGACTTCAGGTGGAAGGGGTTTTCATTCACAATTTTTCCCCACCATAACCTATTTGGATTTTGCTTCCCAAGCACTACCAAGCCTCAATAAGCAAACCAGTAACCAGCCTCATGCTGATGAGTTGCATTAACAACGAAACAGCTGTCCATGAGTGGTTCACTGGTATTGCATCTTTTCCTAAGTTGTGTTCCAAGCTGTTGTATATAGCAAACACAGACTAAAAGGAATCCATGTTTAAAATGGAATGAGGCAAAAATTGGATTCTTTGTTAAACTAATTTGCATATGCCCACCCAGAATCCTTTGCAGTAGCAACATCACTGCAGATTTGTGATTTCTGTGGGAAAAGCAAGTCTTATGGATTGACTGGTGTGCAGATTTTTGTTTAACATTGTATTAAATATATATTATATATATATATATATATATATATATATATATATATATATATATATATATCATGACTTTTATTAAATGAATCATTCCTTAATAACTAATTATTGCCTGTTCATTACAGGTGACATTATCATAAACCCTCCTCGACCTGTATTTAATGATGATGACCTTCAGCTTAATGTTGGCGCCATTAAAAGGGTGGCTTCTGGAGGATATTTTGTGATAACTGGTGTTCCACTTAATTATCAAATCAGCTATAAGCCAGACAAAATAAAGGATCTGATGGCAAAGACTGAAGAACACACAATAGTGCTGTCTTGGACCGCCACTGGTGATGATCTGGACCAAGGAAAAGGTACGTGATTTTCTTCTAAGCCACAGGAAAAAAAAAACACCTACCCTACCCATTTAGTCTACTGGTGGCATTACTTAAATTCATATATATCTGCTTGTTTTCTGCAGTCTTGAGCCTACTACTGCATAGGAATTAACATTTTACTCAATTGTGCATGGGTGTAAGCTTAGATATGAGATGTGGCAAGTAACAGTCCCAGCTCTCCTATCCAGAGAGCTTGGAGGCATGGCTTGAAACTGTGTTTCCAAGCCTTCTAACTATTAAAATATTTAAAATTTTAAACTAGGACACAGGGACACTTAAAGTTGTAGTACAGTGTTCCTAACTTTCACAATAAAATGTATACAATAATTAACTCAGGATCAGATGTCTAGGTTAATAAATTGCAAATGTTTTCTAAATTTAATTGAAACTATGCTGAATTGTAATTCATTTATATTCTCACTAGAAACAGCATGCAAACGATGTTTCTGACCGATTCGACTGACATTTGTTCCCAACCAGGGAACTCATATTTGAATAGATTAGGTGCCATTTAGATTCTGTACTGAATATTGTCACCAATAAATGTATTAGACTCAATGAACACAAAGCTGTTTTTCTTTCCTTAGTGGATTGGTTTAATTAAAACCATGACCTCAGGAAGACACCTGGTGACATTAACCAATAGGCATTTCTAAAATGAGAAATTTACATACCGCTAAATTAATATGGTAATTATCTTTATTTTCCATACTGATATTCAGTGGAAGCTAATGGAGTGTATTGTCCTTTAATCAACATGAATGCAGTCTACTAATATAGAGAATAGAATGATGCAGATAACAATGAGCTCTTGTACAATATCAGGTTTGGCAAAAACTCTAATATTTTTGCATAGAACATGGATTAGATTGGTGTTATTTCCCCATTGTGCACAGATAAATGGTCCTATGACAGGCAGAGAGTTAGTTACATACTTTCAAATTTATTACACCAAACAAGTATTTGCAAACTTTTTAATTCTACGCAAATTTAATATTTAAATTATTCATTATTTTAAATATTTTAACATATTGTTTATATTTCAGTATCCATGTATGATTTAAGAATGAGCAGCGATCTAACAGAATTGAAAGATCATTTTATGAATGCACTTACAATAAACATCTCCAGTATGATTCCACAGGAAGCAGGATCCAGAGAAACCTTTGTATATGTTCCTGGTGCTGATATTCTTAAACAAGACATCGTCCTGTATTTTGCTTTGATTGCCATAGATAAGGACAATGAGACATCAGATGTTTCCAATATAGCCCAGGTTGCCATTTTTACTGCAGGTTCATATCCTACCAGTGTTCCACCACCTTACTCTTCTGAAAGCATGTCTCCAATAAGTGATTTAACTAATCCGTCATCAGCCAACAACCACTCACAAAATTACATGTCTACTCTAACTACAGACAACAATGGTGCACCAGATGACAAGTTCACATCAACTGTCAGCAACACCCCACCGACAGTCAATACTTTGCACACTGAGCGATCAACAGAAATGTTTGCAAATACGTCATCAATAACCACTTATTCTAATGCAAGTGAAAATACTTCACTTGATGGAACCTCTTCAAGAACAGAAGATGTTTCAATGATGGAAACATCGAACTCAATTAATATGTCTGATTCTCTCACAAGTTTGTACACTGAATCTCACACACTATCTAACAACACTTTTAAACCAAAGAACATCACATCATTTGCGAGCATTTCTGGACCAGACAATAAAACTGTTATAATTATTGTAGTAGTTTGTGCTACAGTAGTTGCAACAAGTATAATCATCGGCATCATTATCTACATAGTAAAATACAATACGAGAGTAATCTATGCAGCAACATCAGCATAAAATTTCTTTTTTTATGCCTACAAATTGTTTGGACAATTCTACCTCGTCTGCATTGTTGTCTTTGGAATTCCAAATTTAAAAATATAGACTATGTGTTTAAGTGGCAGAACATGCTTACACCTGTGATGTGATGGATATTATTTCACAAATATATATGAAAATGTATTCCACAGTGCCTCAATACTCCCACACAAGAAAATGCCTTAATTTTCTCTTATGCCTGAATATATCTTAAATTGTATATTTTAAACCTTAATATAAATAAGGTTTTGTGGTTTTATGATATACATATATTATTATTGCAATATTTAAATAAAATGGAAATTATCTTATAATAAATATAAAAGCTGAGGTTTTTTTGTTTGTTTGGTTTTTAAGTAATTACCACTTGCTTCCTATTACAGGATAGACTACAAAAGTACACAGGCAATACATAGCCTCATAATAAATTAATCTGTACTGCCCTACACAATGTCTTGTAATAGTACATTAATTTTCTGTGTGTAGAAAGTCAGCCCCATATTGTTATAAAAGTAAGTAAGCAGCTAAATTACTACGCATTATTTCTGTTATCAAAGTCAAGAACGTGCACACATTCAATTTTCAATGAATTTATTAAAATAAGCAATAAATTACAAACCTTTAGAGCTTATTAATTAATGGATTAAAATATGCTAGTTAGAAAAACAAGTACATTTAACTACGTAACTAATTACAAAAGGTTAAATACATAATTAGGTGTGATGTATGTAATGTATGTAATTTACAAAGACAGGTAAATGTGAAATAATAATATACACACACTAAGTGCAAACAATAAATGCAAAGTACAATGCAAAAAGTTCACTGTGCAATGTATAAATATTCACTATATAAAATGCAAAATTTAGTGCAAAAAAGTGTAATATATATATATAAATAGCACACCTTTTTTGATCATATATTTTACAAGTGTATTTTTATGGGCTATCACACTATATAGGTGCAGCTTTTGCCTTTTATATTATGATATTATTTTTCTTTAATATTGAGTACATTGCATTAAACCAGTTCATTCTAAAATGAATCAGTCCATAAATGAAAATACAGTAATAAATTAAAACGCAAGAGGTTATCAACTAAATAAAAGAAATACATGAAATATATTAAATGGGAGAATCTAAAAAACATATAAAAATAAAGCTTTTAACCTCTCAAGGCATGGTGCCTCACGTAGAAAAAACTATAGATATAGAAGATAGCGCAAAAAAAAACCACACTTCATTAATACCGGTATAAGTATAAAAAAATATTAAATATTGTATTAAACCCTCAGTACATTCAGCCAAGAATCTCTAAATCCATGTACTTAGTAATAAAAACTACATGCATATCTCTGATGAATAATTATGCAATAATACAATAAATACTATCAAATAAATTTCCTGAGTAGAGTGCCCCAGCCACAAAACCAAATCCTAAATAGCAGGAACAAACAGAGATCCATGGACTGGAATGGAGCTAGGTAAGTCTCTCAAAATTACCCCTGGATATCCAAATTTCCAAAAGTGCAATAAAGTGTAAGATGAGTAAAAATAATACATATTATATTCCAAGTTAACTGGAATGATCCAAACCCAGGCAAGCTCTTAGTTAATGCAATAGTTGAAAAATAGCCAACTCATCACTTCTATAGTATCCCAAAATCATACCCAACATGCTTAAGGAGGGCTTGCTCTCAGGAAGTTGCAGGAATGCTTGTGCTTTCTTTGACAAATGCTCCTTTCCACGATCATTTGCCACACACTCCTAAAAGAGTGTGGAAACTGGCTTCCAGCCCACCGATTATGGTCCAAGTCTGGAGTTAACCTGCCCGGCCTCCATAAAAGACTTATCCACAGTGCCCCTGGTTCGGTACCTTCCCTCTCCTGAATTAAACCGAATGCTCACTCTCTGGCGGTTGTTCGCACAAATGAACCCATGAACGGTCCTCAGCGGTATCGTTATCGTTATGGAACCATTTTTAGCTAGAGGACTTTGGGGTTTATGGTCGTCTTGTTTCGGTGTTTTGACCCACTTTCAGACCCGCCAGGAGAGCGCTTTTTGGAGGGATGGTGCCCTAGACTGTGAGGAACAATTGCTTCTTGAAAGCCAGGTGGAGCACCCTATATTTCATCTGTAGGAACTCTCGAAAGTTTACAGTCCTAAGCACTAATTGCTCAGGAACTATTTCATAGGACCACGTGTGCAGCTCATCAGAACTTTACCCCGGTGGCAATTCCTCTACACTGCATGGATCTCAGCGCTATTTGGACAACTTTGGCGCTCAGATCAGGGCTGTTTGGGGATGTAGGACATGTGGGGTTCCTGCATGTTTTTTATGTTTTGGGGTACTTTTATGCTTTTCTGTTTGGCTCTCTGTATCTGGGAGACAATTGACTTACCAGTATTTAACAAAATTATGTCCCAGGCACAGAAACGCCTGGGCGAGGCTTGTATTGTATTGTATGGAGACCCCTTGCTGGGCTCCTGAGCTCCGCTACACTTTCTTTTTGTGTCGGGTTCGCTTATCACTCTGAAGAGTGAATACTCAATCTTTACAGAAAAGAGCATCTGCAATGCGAACAGGAAATGTCTGCAGAGCTGAATTTAAAGGCTGTGCTGAAGTTAAACATTTGTGCAAGTAGTTTTGCCATTTGCGTCTACCTGTTTCATCCTACACAGACTTTACCAAGAAGAACATACATAAAGTCTGTGCAGAAAGCTCTATTTATACGAGTTAAGCAAGAACATTACAAAGAAGAAAAGTCATCTATGTAACGCAACAAAAGTAACCATTGGCCTTAAAAAATCATGTATTCATATAGCCATACTGGCAAATAGAAACACATATTTAAAGGTATAGATGTGCTCGAAATGTGCACACACAAAAGAGCATTATGTACCAATATTAACCCCTTAATGCTCTTTTGGCGTTCCATTCCGTCCCGCTGCCTGACAGCTCAAGCAGTCCCCGGCCCCAGCAACTTAAAGAAAGAGCGATCACATGGTAGGCATATCTGTCTATGCAGCTAATGGTCAAAAAGTATAAAAAAATATTATAGAAGCAATCAATGTAAAAAATAAATATATATATATATATATATATATATATATATATATATATATATATATATATAAACAGGAGAAAGCCAGGATGCACACTCAGGTCTTTAAATCAGTCCAATGTGATTTAATCAATAATCAGGCATACAGCAAATAGAATCAACGTTTTAGACCCCAGCGGGTCTCTTTCAAGATTACTGCCTATGCATAAATAATGTGTATATATAGCAAAAGTAATGCATTAATCAATTAGCTTACCAATTAATGGACTGTAATCCCTCTCTCCAATACAACCCAGAAGTGTACTGAGACCGCCGATGACGTCATCATGTCTAGACATACGGCGGATTAAAGCGTGCTTATTATGGAAACCGAAATCACCACTGTGCAGGACGTAAATCCTGTAATTATGTGACAGGTGAAAAACAAACCGTGCTGTGTACTACCAAGTGGCTACTACAAAAGACTGCATATACCCCATTTTGTCTACTTTTTCAAATGGAATGCAACGGTGGGCTTAATTTTCATTTCCTGGCTGCCATATCATCTCAAAGGCAACATAGCCAATCTGGCAAATTTCAATGTGCAAAAATGAAAATGGGCAAGTCTTATATTTGACCCTGTAACTTTCCAAAACACCATAAAGTCCTGTACTCATGAGACATTACTGAGCCCAAATAGGAGTGTTTTAGAGTAATACAATAAATATATAATGCTGATGATACCATCTGTGAAAGGGTAGTTTATATGTGACAAATGCAAAAAACAAATTCGAATGCTAACTTTGCCCAGTGTTTGTGACTAAGTTGCTACTAAGAAATATTGGACAAACCCCATTTTGAATACCCTGGATAGTATACTTTTTCAAATGGTTTGCCATGATGTGGGTAATTTTTATTCCTGGACAGCCATACAGTCTCAAAGGCAACATCCAGCAAATTTCAATGTGTAGCAACTGGGAAGGGAAAGATCCCTATATTTTACCCTGTAACTTTCCAAAACACCATAAAGAGGAATACTAAGGGGTACTGTTGTGAGACATCACTGAACACAAATATATGTATTTTATTGCAGTAAAAGCTAACAGTATTATGACTTTCACAGTTAAAATGCCGCACAGAACTAACAAAATAACAAAATGTATTAATTTCTCACACTTTTTTAGATTTTATTCATATTAAATTGTTTCATATTTCAATACTTGATGTGAAACGAAAGCCCTGTTTCTCATGAAAAAAATGGTATATAATAAGTGTGGGTGCTCTTAATATGAAAGGTGAATTATAGTTAAACAGACATATAGCGCATGTTAAAGGTTTTGTTCACATTTTATTTTGATCTTAATGTGTACAATTGCTTCCGTCCGTAAGGGGTCCTTACATAAATGATAATGATTTACCAACCCATCGTTAAGTAAAATAAAGAAAGTGGAAAGTGAAGGAAGTTTATGAATAATATTAACCCCTTAAGACCGGAGGGCGTAATAGTACGCCCTCCGGTCTTTCTGTACTTACCCGGTCACCGGTGATCCCACGCCGGCGATTGCGGTTGGGGGGACTCCCAGGGAGCCCCCCGTGGCACGTCCGACCCCCTGGCAGCCCCCCCGGCCATGTGAGAGTGAGGTCCTTGCGAGGACCTCACAATCACATGGCCGGGATAGCTGCCTCCTGCATTGCCAGCAGGGGGGCTGCCTGTAATGACAGGTGGTCCCCCTGCTGGCTGGAAATAAAATAAAATTAAAGTAATAAAAGTTTAATAAGTGTAAAAATATATATATATATACTTAGATCATATATATATATATTATATATATATGATCTAAGTATATATATATATACACATACACACACATATACTGTCTATGTGTATTTTACTATTAATATATATATAATTATATATATTAATATCAAATTACA